CTTGAAGCCTTTTTCTCTGGTGCGCTTTTGAGGATTGCAGAAAGCAGGCATGGCTCTTCATACCAACAGCAAGAGGTTGCTATGGAGACTCTAGTTGACCTTTGCAGGCAGCAAATGTTTATGTCTGAAATGTATGCAAACTTTGATTGTGACATATCCTGCAGCAATGTGTTTGAAGACGTGGCCAATGTGCTATCAAAAAGTGCATTTCCAGTGAACAGCCCTCTATCTTCGATGCAGATTCTTGCTTTGGACGGTCTGATTGCTATGATTCAGGTTATGGCTGAGAGGACAGGCAATGAATCACTTCCTTCAGAACAGACTCCATTAGATCTAGATGGATATAAACCATTCTGGACTTTGAAATGTGAGAACTATGGTGATCTAAGTCATTGGGTTCCATTTGTTCATAGGATGAAGAAAATCAAGAGAGGGTTGATGATTGCAGTCGATCACTTTAACCTGGATCCTAAGAAAGGTTTAGAATTTCTCCAAGCAATGCATCTGCTACCTGACAAACTTGATCCCCAAAGTGTAGCATGTTTTTTGAGGTACACAACTGGGTTAGATAAGAAGCTTATTGGGGATTTCCTGGGAAACCACGATGAATTCTATGTTCAAGTGCTTCATGAATTTGCTGGGACTTTTAACTTTCAAGACATGAATTTGGATACTGCCCTGCGTGTTTTCTTGGAAACTTTCCGGTTGCCTGGAGAATCACAGAAGATCGAGAGAGTGATGGAGGCATTTTCAGGAAGATATTATGAGCAATCACCACAAATTTTTGCCAACAGAGATGCTGCATCCGTGTTGTCATATTCAATTATAATGCTCAACACAGATAAATACAATGTACAGGTGAAGAAGAAGATGACAGAAGAAGATTTTATCCGTAACAACCGGACCATCAATGGAGGGAATGATTTCCCTCTGGAGTACCTGTCAAAGCTTTATCATTCAAAGTTGATGGATTCTTGGCCATTGCTGATATTTCGGCATGGTATCATCTTGATGACGTATTGAATGATTTGGTTGTATCTCTGTGTAAATTCACAACCCTCGTGCTTCCATTTTCCATTGAAGAGTCTATCCTTGCTTTTGAGGAAAACACTAAATCAAGTATGGCAACCACAACAATTTTCACCATAGCAAATAGATATGGTGATTAAATCCGCTCTGGTTGGAAAAACATACTAGATTGCATCTTAAGGTTGCACAAGCTAGGCCTTCTGCCCTCTCGTCAGGCTAGTGATGCTGCTGATGATTTAGAGACTTCTGAATTGGAGCGAGATAGACCTGCTACAAGTTCCCCACCTGCTCCTCACATGCCATCTACAGCGACGACTCAGAAATCATCTGGCTTAATTGGCCGGTTCCGGCAGTTCTTATATCTTGATACAGAAGAGCCTGCACCACAACCGACAGAAGAACAGCTTTCGGCTCATCAGAGCACTCTTCAGATGATTCAGAATTGCAATATTAATAGCATATTTACGGAAAGCAAGTTTCTTCAAGCTGAATCCTTAATGCAGCTTTCTCAGGCCCTTATTTTGGCTGCAGGGCAACCCAAGGAGGCGATTAACTCTCTGGAAGATGAACATACAAGAGTTTTTTGCCTGGAGTTGCTGATTGTGACCACCCTAAATAACCGGGATAGGATTATGCTTCTCTGGCAGGCTGTTTATGAGCACATAGCCAGTATTGTTCAGTCAACGACAATGCCTTGTGCTCTGGTGGAGAAGGCTGTGTTTGGTCTGCTCCGCATATGCCAGCAGCTGCTTCCTTACAAGGAAAATCTGACTGATGAACTTCTTAAGTCGCTACAACTGATACTGAAACTCGATGCACGGGTTGGTAATGCATACTTTGAACACATTACACAGGAAGTTATGCGCCTTATCAAAGCAAATGCAATGCGGATAAGATCCCATACGGGGTTGGCGCACAATCGCTTCTCTGCTTTCTATCACAGTTCAACATCCCGAAGCATCTAAAGCAGGATTTGAAACACTAGCCTTTATTATGTGTGATGGAGCCCATCTGTTACCAGCAAATTATGTTTTGTGTGTGACTGCTGCTCGGCAATTTGCTGAGTCTCGAGTTGGGAATGTTGATGAGTCTGTTGGATCCTTAGATCTGATGGCAGGATCCATTGTTTGCCTATTAAGATGGTCTTCCACGACCGTGGAAGATGTGGGGAAGGAGGCTGCTCTCAAAATGCATCAGGATATATGGGAGATGTGGTTGAGGCTGGTACAGGGACTGAGGAAAGCGTGTTTGGATCAGAGAGAAGAGGTGAGGAATCATGCTATTTTGTTGTTGCAGCAGTGCTTGACAGAAGCGGATGGGATACACCTTCCGAATGAGTTGTGGTTGCAGTGTTTTGATACCGTGATATTCACATTGCTGGATGATTTAGTAGAAATTGCACAGGAGAAGTCTCCAATGGATTATATGAACTTGGAAGGAACACTTGCTATGTCTATTAAACTCTTGTCAAAAGTGTTCTTACGGTTGCTCCCGGATCTCTCACGGTTGACATCTTTCTGCAAACTTTGGCTTGGGGTTCTTAATCAAATGGAGAGATTTATGAAGGTGAAATTCAGAGGGAAACAAAGTGAGGAGATCCATGAGCTAGTCCCAGAGCTCCTCAAGAACACTCTGCTTGTCATGAAAACTAGGGGAATTCTCGAGCCGAGTGATGCTATTGCTGTGGACAGTTTCTCGCAACTAACTTGGTTGCATGTCAAGGAAACATTGCACGTCAACGAAACAAACAAGATTTTTTTTTGACTCGATTAGTAGTCCACTGAGATCACGGCTAGTCATATTGAATATACATTTATATATATATATTTGTTATTATTGTTTTTAACTCTTAGGCGAAATTAAGTTATTTTTCATTTTTTTTTTTTTTTTTGTTAATCTTACTGTCGTGCAAGCAGTAGTTAACGGAAGGGGATTGTTGAGCACCTTAACCTCGTGTGTAATTAGGACAAACTGATTGTTTGGGCGGAAAACAATTTTTGAAAAATATTTTTGTGTTTTCTGATATTTAATTATCTCAAAAGTCAAAACCAAGTAAAATCTTTTACAAAGTTAAATATTTTCTCAAAACTAAATAAAAACAACTTACCGTATTTGTAAATGATTTTACGGACCTCTATATCTCGACCTAGTGTTGGAACTCTCCTTTCACCTCTCTCTCTCTCCCCATGCCATAGAAGTTTCTGTCAGAACGACACGCCTCTCTCTCTCTCTTCGCATCGTTGATGTCAGACTTAATATAATTTGAGGCTTTATAATATATAATATAAAAATATAAAAATATGTAAATATTATTTAAAAATTACACTTTTGTTTTTTAGATGCAAAGCTACTAATTAGATTAAGTTTTGTTAAAGTATATCTTTTAATAGATAATATAGTCGGTTGATTTAATCTTTCTTGTGACATAGTTATATTAGATATGATTTTCTCAATTTAACTTTGACATAGTATATCTTTTATGTTTCTTCTATTAATCATTAATTTTTTTCTTCTTGTGATTGTTAGGTTCTTTAGTAATTATTATCCATTTCTTGTTCTTATTCTCATATATGATATATATGCATTTTATGTGTAATTATTGTCCATTTCTTGTACTTATTCTCATATATATATATATATATATTATGCTTTTTATGTGTCACATTGCTTTTTTGTTTTAAATACATAAAATATGGTGAAACAGAGAATTCTGTGGCTGACCCATTCATATGGGAGTAAGACGAGACAAGAATGATGATGATGATACTGTAATTTAATTTCCTACACAGTCGAGAGTAATCCCTTTAATTTTTGGGTTGTTTTCATCTTGATGAAATGCAGCTTCATGTATATTATATGATACTATAACAATAACAGGTTTATGCTCGATAGTACTTCACTTATTGCAATCACAAGTTTTTTTTATTTTATTTATTTTTATTATTATTATTATTATTATTTTTTATTTTTTAATTGCATTGCTTGTAGCGGAGTTTGCAAACCATTTGAGAGTCCCAACCAAAAAAATTGCATGCATTACTTATTGCTACTTAATATTTTGATAGATTTTCTCTATATTAATCCTGACAGGATTTTACTCAACTCACTTCAACAAATGAACAAAAAAATTATCTAAAATAATTAAAAAATATGCAATCTTAAAAGAAAAGGATATTATCTCGACTCACTTCAACAAATGAACAAACAAGTCATCTAAAATAACTAAAAAATATATATAATATTGAAAGAAAAATATATTATTGACTTGATTTCTAATGATAATGAAATGTGTACTGCCTCTGCTGCAACTAGTTCCATTTAAATAAACATTATTAACAACTTTTGTTTTTATTCTTGTTTTTGCTACATTAATAAAACATATCAAAAGGCCCTTTTTTATGATTTTCGGCTGACGCCTAGATTTTATTAATTGAGCAGTCCCTGAGTATAGTTACACCAGTTGAATAGTTGATTATAAAATTTTGTTAAAACTCAATTTATATATTAATTCGATTCAATGTGGAACAAAATTTATCTTCGAATCGAATGTATTTTACAGATCGATTAAAAAACCTAAACTTATTAAATGATGCTAATAATATTTAGTACATATATATTAATGTTAGAATAGACACCTCTAAGTTCTCTAACACATATCCTCTTATAATCATTTCTTTTCACTTCCCCTCCAATTTTTATCTAAAATGATTTAAATAATTGTTGAGGTTTAAAATTTATCCCTAAAATAAAATATATTCTCTTATAATAATTTCCTTTTCACTTCAACTCCAATTTTTATCTAAAATGATTTAAATAACTGTTGAGGTTTAAAATAAAATTAGTGTAATTATTTAATCAATAAGGAGTGTCCATGTAATTATCCTCATTGGATGCAAGTCTAATTTTATCAATAAAATAAATAAATAAATACGGAGTGAACAAGACGTATTTTGCTCAGATGGGCCGAAACGTTGGTCCCAGTCCGATGCTCTTTTATCAAATATTCCGTACGTTCAAAAAAATCGAATGCCAAGACTCAAAGAGGGATCGGTACCCTCTCTTGTCAGGTCTCCCAAACAACAGTTCTCAACTTGGGATCCTCAAAAGGTACGTTCTTTCGCATCTGATCTGATGTTTCTCCGCACAATCCATTGATTTGCATGTCGTTTAACATACCAGATTGAATGGTTTACGCTTTGATTGCGAGTCCAATTGACCTAATTGTCTCTCGTATGAGCGTGAAGTGATTTTCAATTACGTGTCGATTACTAGTTTCGTTCTCATCAATTTTGTAATCTGATATTTCCTATTATTCGATTGAGCTCTGGTTAAGTATGATCTGGTACTCAGGCTTTGAATGTTTTTTTTTTCCCCTTCATTTTCATTCATATTCGTTTCAATATAGGAGGAACAGTTTATTCAATACTAAAATAGAGAAAGTGATTCAGCAGTTATGAAACAGTGGTTTTAAAAAATCAACTTGGGTGAAGAAAGATTTTCTTGTGGTTTATGTAAATTTGGAGAGAGTTGATGGAGTTGTGATTGTAATAAGGAGGAGAAACAAGCGAATCTCGATTTACGCTAGCCTTGCATTACGGAGCCGCTAGCCTTGCATTACGGATCCGTATTAAGTCCCTATGGTTTTACCTTAGTTGTGATGGAATTCACATTCAAGATGTTGTTCCACAATGTATGTCATTTGTCAATTCTATTGTTTTGTTTGACAGAGGCATAGGTCAACCTAATGTTGCAACAATGTATTCTCTTGCCCAGAAAATCCTCTAATTTTTAATTAAAAATTTAAATGACTTCAACCTCCCTCTCCTTTTCTCAAAAGAATAGCAGTGGTCCAGAAATCACTCGCTTTCATCACCGTTTTAAGAATACAATTTTCATTTTTATTTTTTTCCTTGTTTTGCCCTAGGTATCTGCCAATTTTAGCCTCTTCTCACTGGAGACTCTCTTGATGCTATTTTTCCATAAGCTCAAAGAAAGGACAAATAGGTACACCGAGGCATGCACATTTTAGATTAAGTTTCCAGGTTCAAGATAAATGTGGATGATTTTAAATGTAACTTCACAGGAATTTAATGTATTTATTGGATTGATATAGAAACATTGTTTAGTTCCGTTCTACTTGTAGTATTGTTATGTATAACTCATTTACTTGGTTTTTATTTGTTAAATATTTGATTTTATATTTTGATTCTTCATCCCCTAGATATTCTGATTATAGAAAACTTTTTGGTATAAGTTAGATTTCCAATCATTGAATGTAAAAGCAACACATGCGGACCATGCCAATATGTCTAGAAGTGTTTTGCTCACTAACTACTGTGATCAACATGAAGGAATAGTTGCCAAGTCGGCAAGAACCAATGTGTTACAAGAAGTTCCATATAGTAATGGGATCAGTGTTGGTCGGTGCTAGGAGGGGCAGCCTAGTTACAGACCTAACTTCTGGCATTAGTTTTTGCTTAAAGTTGCTGTTCTCTTACCAAATTCATGGCCTTAATGCGTGGTAGCATGAACTTTTATCATTGCACCAGGCGATAGTGTTTACAAGAAGTTTTGGTAAGGGAAAGTATGCTCATTAAATATCCATTGGCCCTTGGTACTCTCATGAAGTGTTCGAGATGCTATACTTTAAAGTCACATAATATATCTTGCTTTCCACTGTTGAGTTTTATCTGATTTCCACACTTTTAAACCTTTTTGCAAATTTCTTTTCAAATTCATTTATGTTTACTGTCTTAGTAAATCATTTGACAAGTATGGTTTGACTTGCTTTCAGCACCTTATTTGCCTGGTATGCAGCTGCATGGTTCAAGTAGAACTTGAATTGCATTAAGAAGCTTGGATAATTATGGGGTGCTTAAATCAGCAGTCTGGAGTCGACGCATTTGTTGAACCCAAGGACTGTTCCATGAAGGCTTCCAGAGGTGCTTTAGCATGTATGGTGAATTCAGAAATAGGTGCAGTTTTGGCTGTGATGAGGAGAAATGTACGATGGGGAGTTCACTATATCACAGATGATGGTCAACTAGAGCACAGTCTTATTCAATCTTTCAAGGAATTACGGAGAAAAATTTTCTCATGGCAGCATCAATGGCAAAATATTAATCCGATTGTGTACCTCCAGCCGTTTTTGGATGTGATTAAATCTGATGAAACCGGTGCACCAATCACTGGTGTTGCTTTGTCATCCATTTACAAGATCTTAACTCTTGAGATACTTGATTTAAATACTGTGAATGTAGCTGATGCTTTGCATCTAATAGTTGATTCTGTGACAAGCTGCCGGTTTGAGGTGACCGATCCTGCCTCCGAAGAAGTGGTACTGATGAAGATACTTCAGGTTCTTTTGGCTTGTATGAAGAGTAAGGCATCGGTTAAGTTGAGTAATCAGCACGTGTGCAACATAATAAATACCTGCTTTCGTGTAGTTCATCAAGCAAGCTCTAAAGGTGAATTGTTGCAGAGGATAGCGCGGCATACCATGCATGAATTAGTTAGATGTATTTTTTCACACCTGTCAGATATTGACAATACAGAAAATGCAGTGGCTCGGGGAGGCAGGTCATATGTCAATAAAGAGGTAATGGTCACTATGCATAATTTTTCTTGTTTGATGCAATTACGCTTTGGATGTAGAAATACATGTTCCAGGACTACGATAGAGTTTGGTTCTCAGGCTCCATATTCTACGTATAGCCTACCAACCTCTTGAATGTGGAAGTCTTGGACAAAACAATCTGATTTTTTGGATTGAGTGATGGTGCTACTGGATTTGCTCTGCCTCATAATTTGAAGAATTCTGAGATCAGCATTCCATATGTTATTTCCTTGTCAATTCACGAAGCTTGTGTTTTGTGCAGGTTGGTGCACCAAGTAACAATCTTACTTCTGAGGGTAGACCACAAGAAAATGGCCATACCAGTTCAGAATATGATGGTCTGCCACCTTCAGCTGGAGTTGCTTCTACTGTTTCAACAGCTGCAGTATCAGCCAGGATGGATGAAAATATAACTGAGGTTAGTCCGCAGGATGAGGGGGCTGCTCAAAATGGAGAGCATCTTATGACGGAACCCTATGGGATCCCATGCATGGTAGAGATATTTCACTTCCTGTGTTCTCTTTTGAATGTAATGGAGCACATTGAAGTGGGTCCTATATCAAACCCTATAGCATATGATGAAGATGTTCCCCTATTTGCATTGGGTTTAATTAATTCGGCTATTGAACTGGGTGGGGAATCTATTGGACATCATCCTAAATTATTGGCTTTGATACAGAATGAACTGTTCCAAAACCTGATGCGGTTTGGCTTCTCAATGAGTCCTCTAATTTTTTCAACAGTATGTAGCATTATTCTCAATCTTTATTGTCATCTGAGGACGAAGCTGAAACTACAGCTTGAAGCTTTCTTCTCTGATGTGCTTTTGAGGATTGCACAAAGCAAGCATGGCTCTTCATACCAACAGCAAGAGGTCGCTATGGAGACTCTTGTTGACCTTTGCAGGCAGCAAATGTTTATGTCTGAAATGTATGCAAACTTTGATTGTGACATATCCTGCAGCAATGTGTTTGAAGATCTAGCCAATCTGCTATCAAAAAGTGCATTTCCAGTGAACAGCCCTCTATCTTCGATGCAGATTCTTGCTTTGGAAGGACTGATTGCTATGATTCAGGTTATTGTTGAGAGGATAGGCAATGAATCACCACCTTCAGAACAGACTCAATTAGATCTAGATGGATATAAACCATTCTGGACTGTGAAATGTGAGAACTATGGTGATCCTAGTCATTGGGTTCCATTTGTTCATAGGATGAAGAAAATCAAGAGAGGGTTGATGATTGGAGTCGATCACTTTAACCTGGATCCTAAGAAAGGTTTAGAATTTCTCCAAGCAATGCATCTGATACCTGATAAACGTGATTCCCAAAGTGTAGCTTGTTTTTTGAGGTACACAACTGGTTTAGATAAGAATCTTATTGGGGATTACCTGGGAAACCACGATGAATTCTGTGTTCAAGTCCTTCATGAATTTGCTGGAACTTTCGATTTTCAAGACATGAATTTGGATACTGCACTGCGCGTTTTCTTGGAATCTTTCCGATTGCCTGGAGAATCACAGAAGATCCATAGAGTGCTTGAGGCATTTTCAGGAAGATATTATGAGCAATCACCACAAATTCTGGTCAACAGAGATGCTGCACTCGTGTTGTCATATTCACTTATAATGCTTAACACAGATCAACACAATGTACAGGTGAAGAAGAAGATGACAGAAGAAGATTTTATCCGTAACAACCGGCGCATCAATGGAGGGAATGATCTCCCTCGGGAGTACCTGTCAGAGCTTTATCACTCAATTTGTGAGAACGAGATCCGCATGACACCAGAGCAAGGTTCTGGTTTTCCAATGATTTCACCAAGCCACTGGGTCAGTCTAACGCACAAATCAAAACAAACTGCTCCATTCATCACCTGTGATCCTAGAGCGCACCTTGACTATGATATATTTACTATATTGTCGGGTCCTACAATTGCTGCCATCTCGGTTGTTTTTGATCATGTAGAACAGGAAGATGTCTTACAAACTTGTGTTGATGGATTCTCGGCCATTGCTAAAATTTCGGCATGTTATCATCTTGATGACGTATTGAATGATTTGGTTGTATCTCTCTGTAAATTCACAACCCTCATGCTTCCATTTTCCATTGAAGAGGCTATTCTTGCTTTTACGGATGACACTAAAGCAAGAATGGCAACCATAACAGTTTTCACCATGGCAAATAGATATGGTGATTACATTCGCTCTGGATGGAAAAACATACTAGATTGCATCTTAAGCTTGCACAAGCTAGGCCTTCTGCCATCTCGTCTGGCTAGTGATGCTGCTGATGAATTGGAGCCTTCTTCTGAGTTGGAGCGAGATAGACCTGCTACTAGTTCCCCACCTGCTCCTCACATGCCTTCTACAGTGACTCCTCGGAAATCATCTAGCTTAATGGGGCGGTTCAGCCAGTTCTTATATCTTGATACAGAAGAGCCTGCACCACAACCAACAGAAGAACAGCTTGTGGCTCATCAGAGCACTGTTCAGATGGTTCAGAATTGCAATATTAATTGCATATTTACGGAAAGCAAATTTCTACAAGCTGAATCCTTAATGCAGCTTTCTCAGGCCCTTATTTTGGCTGCAGGGCAACCCAAGAAGGGGAATAACTCTCTTGGAGATGAACAGACAAGAGTTTTTTGCCTAGAGTTGCTGATTGTGATCACGCTGAATAACCGGGATAGGATTATGCTTCTCTGGCAGGCGGTTTATGAGCACATAGCCAATATTGTTCAGTCAACAACAATGCCTTGTGCTCTGGTGGAGAAGGCTGTGTTTGGTCTGCTCCGCATATGCCAGCGGCTTCTTCCTTACAAGGAAAATCTGACTGATGAGCTTCTTAAGTCGCTTCAACTGATACTGAAACTTGATGCACGGGTTGCTGATGCATACTGTGAACACATTACACAAGAAGTTATGCGCCTTGTCAAAGCAAATGCAATGCAGATAAGATCTCATATGGGTTGGCGCACAATCGCTTCTTTGCTTTCTATCACAGCTCGACATCCGGAAGCATCTGAAGCAGGATTTGAAACACTAGCCTTTATAATGTCCGATGGGGCCCACCTGTTACCAGCAAATTACGTTTTATGTGTGAATGCTGCTCGGCAGTTTGCTGAGTCTCGAGTTGGGAATGTTGATCGATCTGTGAGATCCTTGGATCTGATGGCAGGATCCATTATTTGCCTATTAAGATGGTCTTCCACGACCGTGGAAGATGTGGGGAAGGAGGCTGCTCTCAAAATGCATCAGGATATATGGGAGATGTGGTTGAGGCTGGTACAGGGACTGAGGAAAGTGTGTTTGGATCAGAGAGAGGAGGTGAGGAATCATGCTATTTTGTTGTTGCAGCAGTGCTTGACAGGAGCAGATGGGATCTACCTTCCAAATGAGTTGTGGTTGCAGTGGTTTGATCTCGTGATATTCACATTGCTCGATGATTTAGTAGAATTTGCACAGGATAAGTCTCCAAAGGACTATAGGAACTTGGAAGGAACACTTACTTTGTCTATTAAACTCTTGTCAAAAGTATTCTTACAATTGCTGCCTGATCTCTCACAGTTGACATCTTTCTGTAAACTTTGGCTGGGGGTTCTTAATCGCATGGACACATTTATGAAGATGAAATTCAGAGGGAAACGGAGTGAGGCGATCCATGAACTAGTTCCGGAGCTCCTCAAGAATACTCTGCTTGTCATGAAAACTAGGGGAATTCTCGTGCAGAGTGATGCTATTGCTGGGGACAGTTTCTGGCAACTAACTTGGTTGCATGTCAAGAATATATCCCCATCTTTGCAATCAGAAGTTTTCCCCGGTAATGAATTGGAGCATTTACAGACAAAGCACATTAAAACAGGGGGTGGTCCTATACCTGATGGGAATTTATTTGCTCCCTCAAGTGAGACCATCGCCTGAAGATAGTTCCCAGATAGCAGGGTTACAATTACAATTTCTTTGGTGAATTGAAAAAGCTTGGTAGATGATCCCGCATAATTTGCCCAGATTTGTGCTATACCATTGTTAAGCTGATCTGTGTATATTGGGTACTGGTACCCACAGTAGAGAAACAATTGCAACTCACCCTGTTAAAGATTTGTGGACGGTGCAAGGTTCAAACAAAAGGAGGGAAGCAGACGCCAGGCTGCTTATTTTGACAGTTTGGTCTGTGTGATTCATATAATTTGTATCCATCAGTACAGGTGCTTTTTCCTTTTTATTCATCTTTGCTCTCCATGAACTCTGAAAAGAGGGTGTGCGGTGATTAAATACACCATGGGGTTATCGGGATTGCTCCTTAATTTTGTTCCAGCATAATAGTTTCCTAATTTCTGTATTACTAACGTTTAAAAATTACAATATGCACCATTTTTTTCTGTATGAATGGTGTCCTATTTTATAAAATAATACAGATCGGTTCATCCAGGGATTTCTAAAGACCTTGTATAGAAACGCTGATTTTCCAATTGAATGCTTGTGTATTATGAATTTATGATTCTTGCTTCTTGTGACCCCTCTCTGACGGGTGTTTCTGTTTTGTTTTTGTTATGTTTTGAGGGTTGAGAGATTAACATTGTTATAAAATGTGTCTTAATTTGTATAATTGGTGTTTCTGTTTTGTTTTTGTTATGTTTGAGGGTTGAGAGATTGTAGTAACATTGTGATCAAATGTGTCTTAATTTGTATAATTGTATCTGTCTAATTTTGATGAGTGGCTCTATCAGATAATAATAATCTGTACAACACCGGTTCTCTTTTATTTGTATATTTGAATGTCTTTGGAATAAAAGTGTCTATTTTGTTCTTTTTTCTTTTAAGTATACGATGGATATAGTGTGCGCGCGTCTGCCTCTGTGGAGGCCTGGTATGGGAGGAGAGAGAATGAAGAAGGAAAGTGGATGTTGGATTATTTTTGTGAGAAGGGGGCTGTGTTTTTGTCCTTGTTATGTTTTTGTGTTTTGTTCTTGTTATGCTTTGAGGGTGGGAGAGATTAATGCATGTGATCAGAATCCAAATGATAAAATGTATGCAACGAAACTTTTTATCGAACCGCCAAGCCAATTAACAGGAACTTGCAATGCAGCTTAACATGGGTCCTGATTTGTCCCGGTCCTTTTGTGTGGGAGATGAATGGTAGCAGATTCAGATTCATTTAGGCCAATATAATCAGATATGATATATATCAGTCTATGATTTGTCCTTGCCTTTCAACATTCATTTCTTTATTGGTAAATCCTCTGATAAATACGAGCAAGATGCAATAATATATGGGTCAATTTTGTCTCGTCTGATAAATTGGGGCAGAATTTTTTTAAAAATAATATACACACACACACACACGCATATATCATGTGACAGGCACATGACAATGTAACCTCATGAGAAAAGTTGAGACCTAAAACAAAGAAGCTGGGTGCGTGAAAAATTGGGAAAATGCAACTTACATGTCATAAATACCATTTGCAGCTGAAGCTTTTTGAAGAACTAATTAGAAATTTTGTTGGAAATGGAAAAATAATTAGAAAAACAAAACAGATCTTGTATCTTTAAATCATAATCCATGTTACAGTTATTGCATATTTCGTTTATGAACAAATTGCACAAACCTTCCGGATGACATTCATGTTCGAGTCCAGATGGAAATGGAGTTTGTAATTATATACATCGCAGCAAGTTAGCTATAACCTTGTGATTTCAGAGAGATGCATTTCCCCACAAAAATAGAAAACAAAACAAAAATGGGAACATGTTGCAAAAATGCTCAGCCAGATGAACCTCAAAAGATGTTGCTACCTGCCTTGTCTAGAGTTAACAATCCTCGGAACCGGGTGGTATGTATGCGTCCACCAGCTCATTCATCTCTGCCCTTTCCACCATAGTAGCGTTATAAAGCAACATTATCTCCTGCATATGCATGTTGATTATCAACCACAAATGCATGATCCAAAACAAAGCCGAAGGAAATAATAATAATAATAATAATATATATATATATATATATATATTACAAATAAGCAACCTCATTACCTCCGCGCTTGATCTAATAGCCTTCATCCTTGCTCTTGTACATGTGTGCCTGAGTCTCTCCATGGCATCCTGCATCTACTTATTGTTTAAGAACTAAAAGTGGACCATTCCATGCATGATTCATACCTCAATAAAATAAAATGAATCTCAAAGAATCAAAATTGATATTACCCTTATTGCTGAGTCAATAAAGTTGATTTTCGTCCTTAGAGATCTACTCAAGCTGTTGACATACTGCACAAACATTTTAATTAGGTATATATTAAAGGTAGAGCCAGCCACGCACGAAGGTTTTAAGGGTGTAAAGGAATTAAGGGGTAGACTATGGCAATGGTGGTAATATCTCTGGCCATCAAGCACGAAGGTTAAAGCTTGAGGACACAAACTTTCAACAAATAGAAGGAAAAAAAAAAAAAAAAAAATTTGTGCCCAGTTTGTCTTAATCCCCCAGATTGGTGAAATCTGTAATGAGTAAGGACTATATTCAGTTGAAAGAGGAAAGATATTCAAGCTACTACCAGCAAAAGAATATTTATTTAACAAGCAACATTAGTATTGCCAGGGAATTGAAATTAGCCATTGCCAAGGAAACAGGTTCTGAACCAAAATTTTATTCCAGTGCTGTTTGAAATAAAAAAATGCAATCGCTTACATCAATTGAAAGGACTTCTTTGGGACAATAACCAGGCACAACAAATGCAAAAAAAAAAAAAGAGAGAGAGAGAAGAGAGTCTAAAAATGAAAGAACAATGAATGAAATTCACTCGACTTTCAAAGAAAGTAATCCAATTGACTGCAAGGCAATTCAACTGGAAATAGGTTATAAGATATCCTACTATTAACCTAATACTAGAGGACTTCTCAGCTTATGCTTAAGGTAAATTAAAAAAAAAAAAGAAAAAAAAAAAAAGATTTTTGTAGATGTCTGGATGATGATGACTCCTTTCTGGCATTCTCAACCCTTTTAAATGTAAATTTCAAGTAGTTTGTAGTAGTTTCTTAAAATAATTCAACTGGCCATGTCTTAGATACAAAGCTTGTAACATCACTTCTTACACATGATGTCAAGTAACAATTCCTAATTGCCTAAAACTGCCTTCTAACTTCAAATATTTCTGCTTGTCCAATGCATTCAGTCTTCCAGATTGAATGACTTTCTGATTACTTCCATTTACGTAAAAATGGTCATATAACTAGTTTTATTTTATCGGCACATGATCCCTTTAAGGTTGGCCCTTATATTTTCCACTGTCACATGAGGGGTAGAATGCTGCTTCTTTTAGCTTCTAATAGTAGATAAAGGACTTCTGTTTGTAATAATCTACTAATGATACTTTGGATCAATAAGATCCAAAAGCCATCTTACATGATAATGCCATAAGCCACTCTCTAATTGTTGGCAGAAAAGTTAAACATGAGTGCAAACAGTTGCTTTTGTACAAAAAGAACCAAACAATAAATTTATTTGTGTGGTCGTGCCTGCCTGCGTGGAGCAGAAAATACCTCAAATAGCATCAGACAAGCATTCAGATTGTTAGCACATGCACATCTGACTAACAAACCATTACTCTGCCAGAATGATCGATTAATTCTAGATGGTCTCACATTATCAAATTCCACAGCTTTCAAGATGTCAGTATCCTCAGCAAGCTCCTTAAAATATTTGCAGCTGTAATGAAGGTTATCAAAGTCAAAAGCAGCAAGTGCTTGACAATTGAGAATAATGAAGCGACCACAAGACAGAAGGTTCACAGAAAAATTAGTCTTAAACGAAGAGAACTTAATACAATGAGTGCCAGAAGCACCAGTGAAAATTTCTTGGTGCATACTCAACTAACTCTATAGGTATATACTAAGTAAATTCGAGTTGAACATCTCACTTTGGGTTAGCAGAGATGAACAAGCCTGTGTTTTTGGTGATAAAAGTTTGTTTCGCAAATCTCATGAATACCATGTGGAAAATTGAACAGCCAACTTAAATTGAAAATTGAGCAGCTGCATGCCGCTTAGAATGCAATACATTATTAAATATCAAGTTATAATAAATAAATAAATAAACCTTCTAAATTTAACAAAATCACAGGTTAATATTAACATTCATTTTACACTACTGGTATCTTACACGGTTTTTGCCCTTGCAAGATTGGCTGCCCCATCAAGTGATGCAGCTACAAAAACCATGATATGTTTCAACACATCAGAGTGCAAATCAGTTATTCTTGTTTTCTTCCGCTTCATAGTTTCTGCAATTAATATGAAATATTAGTTTTAAAATTCTTAAAACCACAAAAAGATAACACAAAACAGCTAAGAATCAACAATAGTGGAAGGTTTCACATGATTACTTCGTTACAACTTCAAATTTATAAAAAAATTAAATAAATAACAATGAGGTCAACAGGAGATGTTTAAAATCTTTGGTTGTACAAAATAGATCCCCTTCCCTTCCCCAAACAAATAAAAAAAAAAAGAAGGAAGAAGAAGCCAGAAACAATCTTCAAGCACAAAATCCATTTCTTTCTGAAATTCTCCTTTTCTTTTTCCCTTTTTCCTAGATTTGTTTCTAGGCTCACTTCTTTTAAAAACAAAAAAGTGCAGTTGGGAAGCACAAGTATAATTATTTAACTTCAACTTTGTTGTTGCAATAAAATTCAGGTCATAAAATTTGTTTCAAATTAGAAATTAGAACTGTAACTAATACATAGCAAAATTTAAAATATCACAGGTTATTGGAGAGCATCAACTGATCCATTCATCTCTACCCAATATATAAATATATATATGTGTGTGTGTGTGTGTGTGTGTGTGTGTGTGTGTATGTTTATACGCCTAAAAGTACAATCTGTTCAGCTGCAGTAAAAGATGACCAATCCCTTTTATACCAACAACTAAACAAGTGTCAGAATTGAAGGAATTGGTAGGAAATTAAAGAGCCAGATGCCCCAGCCGCCAGGATTAAAAAAGAGCCATCTTGTTGGAGAAGTATCACCCAAATTTTGATCTTTTAACAAAATTCAAAATATTGGGTTTCTCAAATCTATTATTGATCATAAGTCACAAGGGAAGATTCTAACTTTGTTACCACCAACAACTTAGCCCAAGTGGAAGGTAGAGGATTCGAGTCGCCAATGGGGAAAAAGATTGAGTCTTGATTTACCGATCAAAAAAAAAAAAAAAAAATCCGACTTTGTTGATTAAATGCATGCCCAAACCCAGAAGTTGTTCTCATCATTCACTAACGTTGAAAGTATAACTTTACATTCTCAATTTTCATAAGAATTAAATGTCATAATTGTAAATTGATAAGCTTGAAAAAGCACAAATTGTTACAATCCACTATTACCCAGTACTCGGAAATATGTTACTTGATTGAAAAACAGGGCATATAGAACATACCTGTATTAGCAGAAGCAGTAAGAGGGGGCGGCGAGTAACGGTGGGTGGTGGCGAGTAACGGTGGCGGAGGGATGAAACCTAGTTATCAAATTTCCAATTGCCCTTCTGTCTTCTCTTTTCTATGCTGCTGTACCGTCTTCATTCCAGTGTTCCTCGAATTCTAAGATAATAGGCTGTGCACGTGTTATGCATGTGACGGGATTCCATGTAAGATTACATGGCTGCCCCTCACATTTTCACACCCTCCCGGACCCTAGTTGAATGGACGTGATGGTTTCAATTGTGGTAATTGGTATGAGTCATGGTCTATGGTCATTTGTTGTGTTTCTTAGAGAGGATATAAGGTGCATTCTGTTTGGATTGAATGAAAAAATAAATAAATAAATTTTCAAAAGAGAAAAAAAGAAAAACAAATAAAAAATATTAAAAATGAACTTTTTAGTCTAGACATAAGTCAAATGAAGTGGTGGGTTATATCATGTTTGAAGACTTTAGGTCTGCGAAATTTATTTAATATTGTTCAAAAGAAATAATTATACTATTATATTTGATTTGTATTGGGAAAGGAAAATGACACCAAAAGGGAGCATCTTGGGTTCCCATTAATAAACGAATCAAATTTCATCTATGGCATTCTAGTTCGAGCTGCTTGGTTGCAAAATGGGAGTATAATTATTTATCAGATATTAAAAACTTTCTACAACTTACCAAATGGGGATGTAGCTCAAATGATAGAGCGCTCGCTTTGCATGCGAGAGGCACGGGGTTCGATCCCCCGCATCTCCAATACATTATTTTGCTTTCTTTTGCATTCCCTTCCTTTCTAGTTTTTATCATTGTTCTACATTTTTTTCTATCATGTTTCACAAAGGGGATGTAGCTCAAATGGTAGAGCGCTCGCTTTGCATGCGAGAGGCACGGGGTTCGATCCCCCGCATCTCCAATTATGCACATTATTTTGCTTTCTTTTTCCTCCCTTCTGTTTTTAACAGGGAGGAGGAGATCTTCGTTTCTAGTTTCTATCATGGTTCTCTATTTTTTTACCTCTCTCTCTCTCTCTCTCTATGTGTATATATATATATATATTTATATCTTAGAAAATTAATATCACTGCAAAGTGTACATATGATCTAGCTCTCTATATTTATATCTAGAAAAACTAATCTCGCTGCAAAGTTTACATATGATACGTAGAAGTAAAAAGTCATTCCATCATTTTTTTTGGCACATAGTTGAATCATCTTTTTCCTACAAGATTACCATTTTTTGTATTGCACTACATAAAATGACATCTTCATTAACACCACCAAGCCAAAAAGGCCTAAAACTCTTTGGATGTAAATTGTAAAAGAGCATACAACAACATCTACAAGAGGAGAGTACAAATTTATGGTAATACAAACCGTTTATCAGCATATAAAATAGCAGACGTCAAGTGTTCTCACATCTTGAACTACAAGAACAGAGATTTGAAATACCCATCTATCGGCGATTATTCATCTGACATGACATATATATTTCAGCAGACTGCATCTGACTTCCAAGTATAAATTACTACTATGCAGGATTTGGTATTCGCACGGCCACTTGGGCCAGCCAAGAACTTTTTTGGTCGGAGTCGATGAAACGATTCGTAACAAACTGTTCTGCTTCTTTATCTACCAGTTCTCTGGCCCATTTCACCCGTTTCGATCGAGAACTACCTGGCCCAGAGCACCTGCATTGTTTATTGAAACAATCCAAACTAATCAAACTGCAACTCAAGACAAAGGGAAAATACATAAATAAAAAATAAATAAAAAAACATCTTTTCATATTTAACCAATATTTTTAACTAAAGCATCAGGACTACAACAAATTCAGGATATCATTTCATTCCCTTTTCAGCGAACATTTCAATGAGTAGATCGAAATGAAACTTTAAATACCTAAGTAACCGGTTGTTTGAAAACTCAGAGCTACATAATTCAACCTTCCATGTTAATGTGTCACTTACTAGTACATTAAGGTATTAACCAGGCTTGTGGAGTCAAATTACAATGACTAGTTTTTAAACATGGATGATTTTTTCAGAATGTTCAGAGGAAGGAGTGAAAATGAAGCACCTGTACTCGTAAAAGCAAGCAGTTCTCTCATTCTCTGTTTTGTCCCAATTATTCCAACCATCAGGTTTGATACATGCATCCATCCATGTGTCTGCAAAAACCACTCTTCCATAGGGTTTCCATGGTCGTCCAAGATATGCATATGATGTCCCTCCATTGCCGGTGATCTGACATCTGCATGATTCAACAGATAGGTCATAGGCAAAAAACACAGAAGAAAAATATTTAGCATGATATAGCATAATAGCAAAATAAAGGCCAAGAGAACTGCAACAAATACCAAACCTAGAGATCGTTTCCTCAATAAGTCAGACACTCTAAAAAAACTGTCCAGTTTATATCAATATATTTTACAAGAAGATACGATAGAGAGATAATAAATTCAAATCTGAAAAACGCCGTAAGGTGTAGAAAAACAAAGAATATACAATTCAATTTTGCTCTAATCTTACATAACACATTGGCCGTAAATGAACAACCCCAAGATCAGTCGTGAAAACAAGGATAATTCTGGCCAATAAACGTTTCATCAATTTAAAAATACCTGTCAATATAAGCCAATTATTTTGGTACTCCTTTTACTAGTCTATTCATTACAGAGAATGGCTGAAGAAGTTAAACATGTTGATCAGAACAAATTAAGGGTTTTCCCCCAATAATATTACAAAACGATTTTCTAAAAGAACCTATGAGAGGTAAAAACATAATAAGAAATGGCACGGTCACTGCCTCGAAGATGGAACTAGCACCACATAAAAGTAAGAAGAAGATCCTCGCTTTAACTAGAAAACAGATATTTATTTCATTGTCATGAAAGTTTTCCATAATGCATATATAGATTTAGATTTGAACCTAAAGGTGACCACAAAAGTTGTGATGATTTTTTCGTGAAATTTAGATTTGAAGGTAAAGGTGGATAACCACACCTCGAGAACACAAAGCCAGTTGTCTCTTGAGAGGAATTTCTACTTTGTGCAGTTATGAATCCAGCTGATTTGCAGTGAATTTTACAGTCCTCCAACAGAGCAGTGCTATTCCCAAAAATGAAGTCCACGCTTCCTTCAATATAGCACTCTTTTAGGTATTGTTTTCCTTTATGCAAGTATAGAGTGTCCTGCATGCACAGAAATAATAGAAGAAAGAATTAGCTCTAAGTAGACCATTTTAACTCTATAATTCTCATTTCTTCCGTGTCTTGTGATTATATGAACGAAAAATAGCTTTGGCTGATCAATCAAACTGTAGCAACTGCCTTGCAAGCTTTTTCCCTCAATTATTTTAGAGGCTATGTTGCTAGACTGAGACAGACAACCACCTTCGATATGCAGTATCAGCAAATAAAGTAAGAAAATGAATTGTTAAATTTCTTAAGTAGACATATTACTTCAATTTAACTTCCTAAAACTTCGTTATGCACTTCTGCATTAGTTATGCACTCATGTTTTCTGTATTTTTCTTTGGCGACAATAAATCCCTGCATTTGGCACTGAAGAAGTTTCTCTTTTTTTTTAGGTGAAACAAAATGTTTTGGAGTTCTCTTTTATACAATTTTTTACCATGTGCTGCACTCCCATTTATTTTTCATCACTTCTACTGAATGTTACCTTTTGCTGCAGAATCTAGAAAAGATTAATGACAGATTTGATAGAATTAAGTCATAAAACTCTCTTTCCATGAGGGAGAAAAATATTTCTATCATTAACTAATAACAGCAAGAAAGTGACATACCTGCCAGCCAAGAAATCTGCACTTATAGAATGCACAACGATCGGCACTCACTCTAATTGCCACGGCTTGGTGTGAACCCTATAGTAAAAAAAATAAAAAAGAAAAACAAATTCCATGGAAATAAATATTTAACAATGTGACTTCAAAGCAATCATGATAAAGAATTCAAAAAGAACATCATGACTTTACACCAAAATATCAAACCAAAAATTTAAACAATTTGAATACCTTAAAAAAGAAAACAATAAAAAACTCAGTTCTAAATTCTTATCAAGAAATAAATGTCAACTAATTTGAGCATTATATAATAATGCATAACTAGAAAACAAAAAAGAATATGGGTATAAAAATGAAATGTTATGAACTACGACCTGTTTAGGTGTCCTTTAAATTTGAAGGCTCCATTCATAGACTGTTTAGAGTTTCAACGTAATAAGTAGATGGACCATTTAAAATAGAAAAGTTAGGAAACTTCACCATGTTTCTTTAATATGTGGCCACTTTTAGACTTTCTTGAAATTACAAATTTGCAGTTTTAAAATATCATTTTTGAGGTGGCATTGTGGCAACTATTTTCTCGCACAAATCCATTCAAGGTGATGAAGATTGAAATATGAAGTGGTCCATTTAAACATGGGAAGGTCTAAACGTTTAGATAATTACAGAATGCAACTTAATTAGAATCATTCATAAAACAGAACAAAAATATAATTTTCAGTATACCCACAACCTAAAAAAAAGAAAGAAAACTTAGAGCATGCTTATTACCTAAAATGCTTTATTAAGGCTAAACTGCAAATCAGTGAACATATAACAAATTGGTCATGTTGCAGAGGTACAAAACTCCATACACATACAAACACCTAATGTGTATTGGCAGGTGCAACGGGTTGAGTGCTTGCCATCCAAGCCAAAAACTTAAATGGTTGGGTGGTAGTGTAACAAGATGAACCCGAACACATATTTATTTTTATTTTTTTAGATAATGTCAAAAGATAATGAAAAACAATGATTATAATAAAAATAATACAAAGAAAATATAAATAAATATAGAAGAAAAAGAAAAGAAAATTATATTGTTTACCCTTTGTTAATGAATAAACACTTGGGAGTAGGGAAAAAATTATATTATATATGTTTAACATTTTATATAATATATTACTCCTCCCTCCCAAAAAGAGTTTCCCAAACATGACACTCGTTTTTTGGGATAGAGGGAATATGTCATATCCAGATGCAGATGATCATAATTCACATTAGAGATTTATTTAGAATTTGGATTTTACATTTGAGATTTATTTAGCCAATGAATTAATGAATTTGGATTGTTAACGGATTATGGGATTAAATTTTCAATCCATATCCAAGTTATCTGATCGGATGGGCATCAAAATTAGATACATTAACAAGTCTACCTATACATCCAACCAAAAATCCTACGTGGGACAAGACACCCTTACACCAGGCCAATAGGCAATTTACCTGAGGAGCAGAGTTCTCAAAAGTGATATTTTGGGCAATGAAGTCCTCTCCTTCAACAATAGTACTACCACACTTGAATGTCCCAATCGATTCCTGAAAAACCGGCCACATATTACCAAAAGAAAAAATATATACTCCTATAAAATAGATATTGGGTCACGCGAAACATAGGTGAATTAAGTAGAGCAGGTAAATAAAGTACCTTTTGGTGATCGATTTTGGTGTCAGCAGTGTAGTGCCAGGTGAGGACAGTGTTCACTGTATTCTCAGGACTCAAGCCGGCGATTGTAATGTGGTTCTTGGTCTTGGGCACGTGCACGGTTTGCTTGTATATGCCTGGCCATACTCTGATCACCGTCGGGCGAGTGTTGTGGGGTGGAATGGCGTCTATTGCATCCTGAACCGTCCGATAGTCTTTAGTACCGTCTTGTGACACCTTGATTTCACCATCCCCGGTACCACGGTGTGCTGCCGTGCTTACACAATTAGACATCCCTTCTCTCTCTAGACTTCCTTCGCTTTCTCACTCTAAAATCTGGATTGCGGAGTGTAAACGCGGAATACTAAAATGTGAGTCCATATAGAATCGTATTCTCGTTCTTTAATGGGAGACAAAATTTGCTTTAATGGGAGACAAAAGTTGGGGAAGAATTGACTTTGAAAAAAGGTGTGAGTTCCACTACAACAGTCCCACAACACTCGCGTCTCCGGATAATCTTGTTACATCTGTCCAAACGCGACATCGACCCAAAAGACCAGACACCGTGTGAACCGCATTACAATAAGAAGTCGCAAGGAAAAAAGTAATTTACAGTTAACTCCCCTGCAGATATGTTAAATCACGTTCGTATCCCCTTCAGTTCGGATAATTTCATTTACCCTCCAGCTAACACCTTTGTAACAAATACACCCCTCCGATCAACTTCCGGCACAAAGCGGTCAATGCTGATGTCATCACTCTCTCATTTTTTAAATGCCCTTTTCTGCCCTCGAAATATCTGTGAAGACATTTATGCCCATTTAAGCTTATGTAAAAAGACATATGTATCCTTAACTCCTCCCTTGCAGAAGTTCTTCAGTATTGAGCATCCAATCTGTATACATGTAAATTTTTGAAAAAAATCTGTATAATCCATATGCATTAGCATATACATATACGAACATATATATATATATATACACATTATTAAAATTTCATATATAAATATAAGTATATTTAATTACCGGAAAGAAATAATATATAAGTATATTTAATATATTTAATTTCGGTATTTGCCTTTGAATTTTTTTGGGATTCAGAAAGGCAAGCATAATTTTTCTCTCCGTACACAAATTCCTTGTATACATATGCATATACCATTCATATAAATATTTGTACATGTATATATGACTCTAATTTTGATCGAGAGATCGGCCCAAGTGAAGATCAGACCCATTGAGAAGAAATGAAGCCCATATTCTCCCACGGTTTAGAAATAACCAAAGGATTTTTAGGGTAAGAAAAGACTTCTATAAATAGAAAAAGAGCAAAAATGTAAAGGATTCTATTGAAGCCTAAAAAATATAGGGTCATTTACACATACTTCTCCTATGATTTGCCCTAATTACAGGGACCACCCTTACTGTTTCAGAAATTACGCGGACCTCCCCTAAGAATGAAAATAATATACACAGACCTCCCTTATGTGTGACGGATCGTTAAATACACTAACGGAGCTGTCAAAATTACTGAAATACCCTCAACTTTCAATGATAAATGACTTAAATACCCCAGTGTGTATGTATGTATATATATTAATAAATTTCCGATTTCAATGGCAACAAGAGAGAACATAGTAGGTCCGATGAACCACAATTCAAGCGTGGTTAGTTGATTTAAGTCCAGCAGATCAGAAAAGTATTGAAGCAACAAAGAATTTCAGTTCGGTGAAAAGTTTCACAAGTTTCAGTTTGGGCACGTTTCAATCCAGTGAGATTGAGCAATAATTTTAAAGACCCAATTCAAAAGCACAGAGCATCAATGGATTTCATTGGTTTCAATCTAATGGCAGGCATCCTCCTGCGATGTTATACATAATTTTTATACACACACACACACACACACACATACACACACACACAAGCTTATAATGAGGAATGAGAAATATAACTCACGAGAATCAAAACACAAAGGTATACTCACCACAGACGATTCAATTGTCTGGTTCTGGTTTTTGAGTACCTTTTTATTGAATTGAATTTTGCCATCCTAATATTTCTTAAACCCGAAATTGGCTTTAGAGATGGAGGTAGAAAGAAAGAAAGAGAAAAGGAAATAAACCAAAAAAAAAAAAAAAAAAGGTTTTGCAGTAGATTCTTTTTAAAGATAGAGCTTTCTGTTTTAGGGAGGATGGTGGTGGTTGTTCATATAGAGAAGAAAGATTGGCCAAAAATGAAAAAAATATAAATGATTTGGGGGAAAGATGGAGAGGAAACAGGGGAGAAAAGGGAGGGGAAAAAGAAGAAGAAATGATGGTGGTCAGTGATGGCTGTTCATATATAAAGGAGAGAAAAAGGCCAAAAATAAAAAAATAAAAAAAAAACAAAAAAACAAAAAACAAAAGACTAATTTGGGAGGGAGACAGAGGGCAAAAAAGAAAAAGGGCCAAAAAAAAAAAAAACGATGTTATTTGTTCATGAAGGTTTAATTTTTTGGCAAAGGTTGCTATTGGTGAGGTGATGAAATTGGATCTGGGGAGATCGAGTTTTTTGGGTTTATTTGATCTGGGTTTGTTTGATCTACTGCCGCCACTACCATCGTCTAAACCCCATTCTTTCGGAGCGGGATAATGGTCGTAGAGACTTGCTCTTTGTGTGTGTATATATATATATATATATACATATATATATTTCATGTACAGTGATTCACCATTCACCCAACCCACTTCTCCTCTAGCCAATCCCCACCACAGCCGACCACCAACAACCCCCATTTGGGTATGACTAAAATTAGATAATTGAGACTATATTGATAGTGTGTTTATAATTTGATTCAAATTCTTAGCTAGAATGTCTATATATTATCATTTGGGAAGATTGCATTTTTCATATTTGGCTCAGCCAGGTCTGTAAATATACTGTATACGTAATGGAAAATATTAGGGTATTTTGGGAATTTCAACATCAGCATCTAATATATAATATAAAGTATATAGACAAGGGTATTTTAGGGATTTTAGTAAAATTAGTAGTTGACGTCATCAATTTCCGCCGTTGACCGACGTTGACTCTGACAGAAAGGAGGTCTATGTAAATTATTTTCATTCTCAGGGGAGGTCCGAGTAATTTCTGAAACAATAAGGGTGGTCCTTGTAATTAAAGTAAACCATTGGAGAGGTCTGTGTAAATTATCCAAAAGTATACTTTCATATTTCATAATAGAGAGAGCAATTTCTTACACATTTAGTCTTGGATTTGAGGAAAGAGATCAACTGATTGAGGGTTGGGGGCTTGGAGTAAACGCTGATCAAGCTTAGAACCACGTGGATAGAGAGAGAAAAGAAGACTAAGTAGGAATCATTGGCCTCCTTCAACAGTATATGCTTTGCGAAGACCAGAGAGACGTCTGTTTGGTGAAGCAGGGTTGGTCTCTCTGCAGATGACGTGCTTCACCCCTCTTGCCATCTCCCTCTGTGTCTCGTTCGACCCATGTTGACGATTAAGATCGAAAATTGACGATGAAGAGGGAGAAAAAAAGGGGCAAGATCTTATGTGGGATAGTGTACAGTAAATTCGCAATATAAGATTTTTTTTAATGAAAAAATTAAGATAATAAGGATAAAAGAGTAATTTCATAACTCCGGTCACCGGATTTGAATATGAATCACTTACCAGGAAGGTAAACAAAATTATTCAGACAAAAGAGAATGAGGGCTTGGCGTAATTTGATACATTTGCAGGGGAGGTAACTATAAGTTACCAAAAAAAAAAAACAATCTATGCTATGCTTACGGTGCACATCACACATGTAGAAAATACTCCTAAAGTTTTAATTTGATGCAAAAAAGTCTAACACATTTAAGTTATAGTTTGATTAAATTACCTTTATACACACATTTTACATATTATTTAAAACGCATTATTTTATGAAATGACAAAAATGGTCATTTAGTACATTAGGCGTGTAATATATACTATAAGCATATTATAGGGTGTTTTTTGTACTTTATAAATTATTGTTGTTTTGAATATTTTGATCTTAATGATTAGATTTAATTGAGAACGTAGTTTTAACGTGATTTGAATAGTATGATAACGATAGGTGTTTGAATACTCATTTGTTTATTTTGTTTCCCACTAAAGATTGAATATCAATTTGTTACTATGTAAAGAATTATATATATATGTGTGTGTGTGTGTGTGTGCAAATTTATTACAATTTCTAAAGTTAAAAAAATTAAATGTATATTGTTTATATATAATGAATAAGTATCTTTAATTTAAATTTTTAATTATGTATTTAATTTTTTTTTTTTTATGTATAATGTAGATGCCTCGATAACCCAATAAATTATTTAAATTTTTTTAAAAGTTAGTTAAATATAAATATGCACATAACACCTTTATACTATGAGATTATTAGCATACACACTCCCTTTGACATTTTCAAAAGAGTAAATGGGTAAAATAAGTATTACAACATTATTTTATGTCATATCTCTGATTGAGTAGTGTTGTCGCACAATTTTAAAAGAATATGGATATTTTTAGTACACTTTTTCAAATAGGAATAAATTTGTTATGCAAAGTTTATATTATGGGTGTTTTCTGCACTTTACCCTTACAATAATCACATATTTGTTTTTTTTAATGTGAAATCTGAGTCACACAATCCCCGTTGACATGTGACAACTAACCAAAAAACAGAAATGTAGGCCCCACTGCAACAGTCACACATGCAATGGGCAATAACCAAAAGACACAGTGTGGACCCCATTACAACAATCACAATTCTTTTTTCTTTTTTTATGTGGAATCCTAAGTGCACAACAGTTATCCATATGTGACAACTAACCAAGAGATCATACTGCAACAATCATGCGACAACTGATTAAAAGACATGGGTACACAATCATACAAATTTTTTTTTTCTTTTTTAATGTGGAATTGGAGTTCCACAGGTATTAAGAGACAAGAGTATAAACCCCGCAACAACAATCACACATTTTTTTCTTTTAATGTGGAATCTTACATAATACTTATCGATATGTGACAACTGACCAAGAGATAATGATGAAATTTCGAGTCACACAATAACTGTCGACATGTAACACCTGATTAAGAGACAAGGGTGTGAATTCCGCTGCAACAATTACACATATTTTTACGAGGGTGTAACCCCACCACAATAGTCTTACACAATTCTAAATAGGTGCCACTTTTATACACCGCTTCAAAGGGTGTAACACAATTCTAAATATGTACCGCTTTTATACAACACTTCAAAGGGTGTCTCCCCATCACAGTAGTCTTACACAATTCTCTAGCATACTTTCGCTCCCATCTCATTTGATGTGACTTAAAACAGCTGCGTGTCACATACTCATGTACCGTGTGCACCTTTATTATACGAGCGACATCTTTTCTTCTCCCTAGAATTGTTTCGCTTTCTCCTCTTAAATGAATGGCTGCTCTCTGTGCCTCGTTAGGGCACGTAAAGAAGACACGGAACTAGATTCAATGAACTCAGCAGTGGGAGCACCAACAATAAGTGGTGGTTTTTGCCGTGCTCTACTCTGTATGAAATTGAGAACTGTAGTACTGTTTTGACTTAGAAAATGGTATATAAACCCAATTGCCAAACAACAGCTGAAAATAACAATAGTGCCAACAGTTGAACATTTGTCTCCAATCTTCCATTAGTCAACATGAGGCGCAGGCGGAAGAGGGAAAAATATCGGACTAGGTTGTGGCAATAGTGAAAGTTTAACCCTCGGCATGAAAATTGAAGTGGCATTGTCTTCAATTATTGTTTTGTATTTGATCCACATATCCGACTCTTGCTAAAATAGCACTGTACAACAAATAACTTCAGACCACAAATTACTCTACAAGAAAAGGGATGCTTCCATTAACTACTTAAAGCAGAACCTGAAGTGACTATATAAGATTAACCACATTTATAAGAACCATAATTTATCTCGATAGTAAAAAAATTATCCACAGGGTGTAGCTTTTATATTAGCGGCGCAGCTAGCTTATTAGACAAAGAAATTATACAGGCAGCCACGGATGAGCGGCTCAACCGCGGTAAGAGAACATTCCAAAACGAGGAAAACAGTACATAATACTGGGAAGGCAATTTCCTTTTTTAGGTGGAACGGGCATCATCATCTTGATTCTGATTCGCCGCCTCCCCATTCTGCAAGGTGGCTAACGAGTCAACCGGCGAGTTTTGGGCTGTTACTGCACCAGTACTTTCATTATCTTGACTTCCAAAGAGAGATCCAAATGACAATGGATTGTAGGTCGAGCTCGCCTTTTTAAGGCCCTGTATAGTTTTTATTGCAGCAATGGTGCTCCGGTATATTTCCACCGTTTCCTCCCCAAGTGATGAAGATGTTTCTGGGGAAATCTTTGCCGTATCAGTAGGTGTCGGGACTGACTGATGTCGTGCAGTGGTAGTACATTCAACAACTTCTGCTACCAATGGGAAGAGGAGCTCAAGATTTGCCTCGCACTCGCGGACTAACCTCGTTAGAGGTTCTGTGGTGAAGAAAGGTTCATGGAGGGCAATCTGTGTGAAGGGTAGACACAACAACCCCCCAGTTCTTTTATCATACTTCTTCAAGATTTTAACTAGACCTATTTAAGTAGGAGGAAAACGGTTGTTAGAAGCTAAAAATATTTCAAATCCCTTATTCCTAATTTTATAAGAAATATTTTTTCATAATTAGTTGCTTTACCTGTAAACTTTAGGGAGCTCTAATTTTTGAGGAGCACAATCTCCCTATGAAAGGTGCAAAAACCCTTTGACAATCCAAATTAGATATAAAAGAAAGATATAAATGAGGTAGCTATTGTACCTGCAAAATTTAGAGAGCTATAATTTTTGAGAAGCACCATCTCTCCATGAATTGTGACAAAGTCCTTGCGGATGTCCATCATCTCTTCACTAAATTCACTCTCTGATGTGAACATCCCATCTTTCATGTAGTCCTCTTTCACTTGTTCAATTCTTTCCTTCAACTCCTGTTGAAATTGCAATTAAGAATTAGTAAAGGGCCATGGAGAATAGGAAAGGTGGCCCAACATTTATGGTGCTTCAGATGCAAAGGCACATCAACTGACTGACACGCATCATTCAGAGGATTCTCCAAAGATCACTCATGGACACCATCAAGTAGATTCCTTAACCAAAAGCATAAGACTGAAAATGATGAAACAAACATAAATCAAAAGGACACAGAAAAATTCAAATGCCCACATGAAAATGCAATGGAACTTTTCGGTTTCGGATTAATTAAAAGCCATCAAATTATACATTCACTAACTATGAACTCACTTCATCATAGTTGTTGGCATCTTTGAGGTTTCCCAACAGACATTGCATCTTCATTTGCGTCATATTTAGCAATATTTGGAATTGAAGTACTGAAAGAACATAGTTGTGAGATGCAATGTCATGCTTTGATTTGGTTTATCTGGGAGATAGGACTTGTAACACCTTCAGGCAGTTTCGAAGCTGTCGACTTGGAAAACGAACCTTGATGGGTTGGTTAGGGCCCGTTTGGAAAGTGTTGTGTTTTGTAGTGTTTTGTTTTAGCTTAAAACAGAACAAGTGTTTTGTAATGTGATGTTTTGAAATGAGAACAAAACATGTTTGGCGACAAAAATTTGCGGTGAGAATTTTGGAACAAAAACATGGTAAAACATGTTTGGCAAGGTATTTCGTTTCAAAAAATATGAGAACAAAACATATTTGGCAGAGTGAAAGTGTAACCAAAATCATAGGACAAAATATGAGAACAAAATATGTAGTGCTAAATTTTTAAAATTCTTAAAATTAACTAGTTGAATGTCAATCATAGTTATTTCAATTAAACAACAATCTTATTCAATCAGATACAAATTTATATATATATATATATATATATATATATTGAAATCTTACAAAAATTACACTTTTCAAATCTTAACAAATCGAACGCTAAATATGATATATTATTTAATAGATTAGGATTTGATCGGATTACCAATAATTTCATTCTAATTTGTAAATTTTTCCCAAAATAAAAATAAGACTTATTTTTCTGCAATAAAAAATATACATACGTGTGATCCGTATATTGATATACATTAAGGAATTTGGATTAGCTATCAAATTGACAAAGTGCTAGATTACTTAAAGGAATTTAATGAAAATATATAAATAAATATATATATATATATATATATATATATATATATATATATATATATATATTATTTGATTTAAAGGAGTTTGATATACATAATAAATTGATTTTCTAAAACATATATATATATATATATATATATATATATTTTTTTTTTTTTTTCAATTAAACAAATAGATTATTATAATTAATATACAATGACAAAATTTCAACTAATACAATTACTAAGCATAAAAAAATAAAATAAAATAAATAAATAAACACTACACTGAATCCCATTCCCCTTCCCCTTCCCAATTCAGCATCCAAAACCGCAGCTTCCTGCTTCCATTACACACACCTCCCTCGTGCCACTCCTCCTTGTCTGCATTCGGCACATCTGGACTGTAACTCTAATTCGCCTCTCTCTCTCTCTCTCTCTCTCTCTCTCTCTCTCTCTCTCTCTATATATATATATATATATATATATATATATATATATGTTTTGCAGAAACCCTAACTAGACTGCTTATAGAACATATACATCTATATATCCATCAATGGATGACGGGGAAGGAGGTCTAAGGTTCGACTTTGAGGGCGGCCTCTATACGGGTCCCAACAACCCCACTTTGAAGCCCGACGGTGTGCACGAAAGCGTCGTCGATTTGATCTAAGGTACGAAGAAGAAGGCGATCTCACCTGGCAGCTGATCTGATCTGATCTGTTCACCAACAAAATTGGTACCAAGAACGTTCGAGCTCTATTGAAGGTTACGAGGATATGAATTAGACGAGAAAGCAGACCTTAATAAGAAATCGCCCCCAGAATCGCTTAGCCGAGAGCGTAGAACACAAACCCTATCTTCTTCCAACTTTCTCTTTATACCTGTGCTGGGTTAGGCCATTTTGTTCCTTCAGCTACAGTGTTTTTTGTAGCCCAAAAAAAGTGGGAACAAACAAGAACACCAAAATGGTGTTTCAACTTTGGGCCCAAAAAAGTGAAAATGTTCTACTACTATTGAAAACAAAACAAGCCGGCCCAAACATATTTTGTTCTCAAAATGGACTACTGTAGCGGGCCTGGAGCATTACAAAACACATGGGAACACTTCCCAAACAGGCCCTAAATTTCCTAAACATCAACAATTACATCGATCTATTTAAAAAAACTCTCATGCAACACTTCGTTTGGACTAAACATAAGGCTATGCAAAACAAAATTTGGCCAAACGAACAAAACATCGAGATAATTCATGTTAAAGATCTCATAAGTTATAATATCAATTCTCTCTTATTCTAGGATAAATATAAAATACATAAAAGATGTGCTAGAGAGGACGCAACCCTGTACAACACCGTAACAAAACTGCACATTCAAAAACAAGAACAAGCCTACAACTCCAAACTAAGTTCACATTAGACAATAACTCAACAAACCATTACCCTTGGAGAGCCATAAGATCAAAGAGCGATCATCAACTAGCCCAACTAAAACCTACCAATCCTTTCCTCCCAAAGGACCTCTCATCCAAATATACCAAGAAATGTGGGGAAAAAAATAAATAAAAGCCAACAAGTAGCCATTTTCCGCACATCAGATCTATCATTAGTAAGTGGACAGCTTAATCAACATAATTATTATTTTTATTTTTATTTTTATTTTTATTTTTTGAAACAAGAGCAATGCACCATCAACATAATTAAAATTTCGATCAGGATGGGCAGTACACTCCCTATATCCTAGCAAGCTGGCAATGCAAAAGAAAATGATAACAATCTTCTCTGCTGTTACACAAACTACAACAATATGGCTGATTTTTCCCTAACAAATTATCAATTGTAAGGATTTTCTCTGAATAGGAACAGAAAGATTTCTCCATACGTCATTTTATGTTAAGTCAACTCAACAAAGCCTTTGATACCAACAACGTCGGCTCTACTACATAAATCCTTTTTGGCCATTCCAATGACGCATCTATCAGATCATATATAAAACTTGTCTCTTCAATGCCTTCTACTATTCCTGAAGCACCTTTAAGTCAAACTAATTAAATTGTCATTGGTTTTTGAAATGTAAACAAAGCGTCTTCGACATATCTAAATTTTGATCTTAATATCTTGCCTTATAGCTACACATCATAGATGTTTCCCATTTCTTCGATAGTCGTTTTTCCAACAAACACACAATACTCTATTTACTCTGTAAATACTTCCCCTTCTAACCCATGCTGCGAGCTAAATAAAAATAATAATAATAATAATAATAAAACCATCCTGCATAATTTTACAAACAACAAAATGTCCAAACAACCCAATTTCCTCCCTTTATGGATAATGGAATGAAGATAACAGATGTGCTCACTTTTGTGTATCTGGTAGTGGTAGCCACCTATTTTCCCACCACTAACTCTAGCAAAGTCTAAAGTTATATTCCATATTCCTAATCCTTGCTTATCAATCTCAGAACCTTTAGATTCTAAAGCAACCTTCCAAAATTCATAAATAACAGCAACTAAAACTGTTTGACTACCAAACTATATATAAAATCTTCTACACATAACTTTAAAATTCACAAAGAATAACCATACAAATGGATAATTGAACACATAACACAATATACACACATATACATGTACACAATATGTAAATATATATCCACATAGAAAATCATACATGCAAGAGCCCAGGAGTGAAATTAAGGACCTGAAGGCGGATGACAAACTCTTCTTCTTTGTCGACGTAGAAATCGTTAAATTTCTCGAGTTCGTCGCTGAGAATCTTGATGAACCAGTCTTGAAGGTCAACCAAACAAGGCAGGGTTCCGTCGGGATGGTCAACTCCATCAACGGCTGCGGATGCATCGGCGTCATCAGCAGGACGGTGATGAAGGAGTGAATCATCAACGGTGACAGGGATGTGCTTGAGGAGCTTCTTTAAGAGCTTGTAACACAGGAACTTGTCCCTCCATTGGGGTAGGGTTTCTTCCAGGTGAGTCCGGAATTCCTTCCCAAATTTCATTCCGATGATAATTATATGAGGCTCATGGAGGAATGAATCGGTTGTATATAATGTCTGATGTCTAATCTATATGAACGTATTTAGTGAGAGAATATTTAGAGAGAGAGAGAGAGAGGTCTGAGACTCAGAGGGGGTAAGGAATAAAGAGGTATTTGGAATCTGGAAAGAAAAGAAGATAGGTACGAAAAGATGGCAATATTGTTTTGTTTGTATGGTTGTTTGGACTGATTGGCAATATTTTTTTTTTTTTTTGGAGGAAAAGGTACGACGGATAACATAACAGACACTAGAATAAAAACAAGTGAAAAAAAATTACTAGTAAAATAAGTGAAAATCAATTACTAGTAAAATAAGTTAATTAATATTATAAATAAAAGGATATCAAAAACTCCGAATTTAAAACAGACACAAGCCGGTTAATCCTATACCGGGCAAGGGCCCATTATTCATTCGTTGAACCTTTGGGCAACCTAAACTCCAAAATAATTTTCAAATTAAAATACTCCTATATAACAAATGATAAATAAAAGGAATAAATACTCAGTTAATCCTACTTTTATCCAGGGATAGTAATTCGTATTTGTTAGTTATAACTGTGTTATTATGATATTCTATTAAATAGGTAAACTCCAACTCATTTAATAATCGCATCAGCGACCCTCAACACTAATCCGACCTATTTATTAAACGAATTTATGATTTATTTATCAAGACATTTAATATTTAATCAAATAATAAATATTAAAAAAATTTTGTTCCAATTAACCCAAATATTCAAAATGAAAAGAAAAATCATAAGACTTAGTACAACTTAACTATCCATAATAATTGGGCTTAAACAGGTAACATATTATACAGGTCATATCCATGATTATGACATGTTTAGTTAAACGGGTTTTACGTGTTGAACTTCTTAATTCTAACTCGACACAGTTAAGTAAACGGGTTAATCGTGTAAATCCGTTTTATGACCCTAACCAGTTCAAGGTCAACCTAAACTCGCTTATCTTGTATCATAATTTGCCACCCCTACTTTTATAAAAAATTTCAACAAATTTCAAAATTCTAATAATATATTTTTTTCTCCGACATTGCTCTTTCTTATAAATGCCTAATATGTTATTTTTTGTTATGAAAATACTAATTATACCCTTTACTAGTTAGCATCAACTTACAATAATCTTGAAAAAAAAAAAAAAAAACATAGTTTTAATTGCCACCAAAATTCAAAAATTGCTTAAAATATTTTCCAATTTATTTATATTCAACCAATTGTAATAAACACACACACACACACACACACACACACACACATATATATATATATATATATATTAAAACAAACCCAAAATGTTTCACAAATTTTTTCGGATGAGATGTGTTGATGCACAATTAATGAATTATTTAAATTGTTTTACTTTTTTCTATTTGTATAGTTTTACAAATAAGTAATTTGAAGAAAAAGTAATTTTATGAAAATTTAAGAATATGCATGTTATATTTTTTTAAGATAGTATAAATTTTTCTTCGAATATTTTTTTCTATAAAAAATGACATTAAAAAAAAAAAAAAAAAAAAAGGGAGAATAAGTTTGTACGGTTTACCTTACTTGTAAAATAAGTTTAGACGAAGACATTGTGGCCATTAGCTGGTTTACTGGTCTCCAAGAGACTGAGCACTCGAGGTAATTCGGGAGCTTCCTTCACATATTCCTTTATACCCCAAAAAGGTTAATGAGGGCAGCTTACAATGAAATTTTCAGTCTCCGTCAAATTTCTACTACTTTTATTAAAACTAAGCTGTGTTGTCTTATTCGCTTCAATGGGAGTTTAAAACAATGCAACTTGTGGTTAAAATTTCCCAGTTGGGGACTAATTTGTTTGTTGGAACTGTTTCTGTTTTTATAAATTATTAATGGGAAGGATTCGAACAACTGCTATGCCGTATCAACAGTGTCTATGTGGAAATCAGAATCCAGATACAATCTTAACCGTATTGTCATTTCCTAGATCTGAAAACCATTATTGACACCCATAAAAGGTCCCTCCACTAAGGGCAAGCAGTGACTTTATTAGGTCACCGAGGAGCCCAACCCCCCAAACCATTTGATATATCTTGTTTTCTCTAACACCCACACAGAAATCAGAAGCAATATATTTTGCCTGTTTGGCACTCTGAAAAAGTGTACGCCCTGAGAAGGTATACCCGAGTCTTGGAAAATCACTTCCAATGATCAGTAGAAAGATTCATCCCCTAAACATTTCTCCCATTATCATTCCATTCACATTATTCGCGATTATATATATATATTAAAAAGGAAAACACCGCAGGCGAGCCGCCCTATATCTTCTCCAGAGCCTGAAGAATATCAGCCTTTAAATCTTCAAAGTCTTCAACTCCAAAGCTGAATCGAACCAAGTTGTCCATGATCCCATACTTGGCCCTCCCTGATTGATCAAGATCCCTGTTCACAAATGCATGACAAAGTAAATTATCTCCGAGCACCATGTATAAATAATAACAATTGCATTATACCACACTCAGTATTATTTATAAAATTAACAATATGACAAGGAAATGGAAGATATACCAGTAAGACATTATTGCTGGCTGATCCACAATGCTCTCACAACCTCCAAAGGAGGGGGCAATGTATGGGATTTTCAATGCATCGATAAACTTTGCAGTGGTCATTAAGTCTCCGTCAACCTAAAAGATTGTATTCCGATAACAAGTTGTAGGAAAAGCATATAACACAAACCTATTACTAGAAAATAAACCACTAGTGAAAATAGTTAGCAATACAGACCTCAAAACTGACCACACCACCAAAGCCAGTCATTTGCCGCTTGGCAAGGTCATATTCTGCATGACTTGGCAAGCCTGGATAATAGACGCGCTTCACCTGCAATCATTTAATTAGTCCTTACACTACTAAGATGGTAACCATTTGTGCCAAAGAAATAGATGCCTGTTTCTTCCTCAAATCAGGGTTTTTCTACGACTCAATAAAAACATCAAGCATCAATAATAGCATAAGAGTTTGATGTATACACTACTTTCCTGCAAATACAGACCGGATTGATAACTTATAAAGGATACAACATAAAATTCAGCATCATCACAGCACTAGATAGGAACCAATTGCAAAACAGATAGGTTTACCTTTTTTTCAAGAAAAATATTATTTTTTGTTAAAAGCAGATGCGAATATATAAATATAAATATGTGAACTATAAGAATTTTGCAAAATATCCCCATGGAATAAGATTTGCCACCCTAAACTACTGAAATTTTGCAACTAGCCAACAGCCTGACAGATGTTGGCCAGCTTTTAAATGGTTTATGAAATTACATATTATTTGAAAATTTTGTTAATACAAAATAAAAAATAAAAAAGTCGTCTCAATCCTTTTTCTCATCGTCTCATTCTCTCTCCTAGCTTTTAAATGTAAGCTGCTTTTTCATTTCAAGTTTCCACCCAGCATGTCTCTCACTCTCTATGTATCTCTCTGTGGTAAGCTGCTCATTCCTTCCAACTTTCCACTCAGGCATACATTATATGTGTGTGTGTATATGATGCCATGATTTGTAGAGATTCAACTGAAATTTGAAGGCAGAGACAACAATTTGTGATGAGATGGGGTCTTCTGAAGCATTAAAAAACAGCTGAGATGTATTGTCACCTTCCGAAAGCTGCCAAGAAAACACACATTGGGGCAAGGAAGAGAACAAGACCCATTTCACAGATTTCATATCACGAGAGTTTCCAAGCATGGATTAATAATAACACAAACAATAGCCACAATGGAGGCAATGCTTTTGGTTATGGCCATTATGGGGTTCCAAGCGATTCAAATAGGAATAGTTCGTTCTTGATGGGTCTCGTTTGTAGTGAAGGTGCAATTATTGTATAACAAATGATAATTGTTAAATATATAGGGAAGAATGTTCTCAAATTAACAAAGCCTTCTTTCCAACTACTTGGAGTCAACTCAATGAATCATCTTTTTCCATTTCACTTTATCTAAGGCCATAAACTCGGTCAGATCTTATGTTACCATATTCTTTCATACTAACTCCTCCAACGTTAACTTTGGTCTTCCTCTTCCCCTAGAATTACGTTCAATGTGGACTGCATACTTCTTCCCTAACTGGCACATTTAGCAGTCTTCTTTTTATGGCCAAACAGTCTTATTCAATGTTCTCACACTTTATCTTCAATTGGTGCTACTTTAACCCTTTTTTGTCTTGTTGTACATCTATCACAACATTCGCATTTCCGCCAGAATCACTTCACTTTATGCGTAAGATTTTTCTAAGCCGCCCAACATTTTGCCCCATAAAGAAAAGCCGGTGTAGTAGTTGTTGTATAGAAATTCCCTTTCAATCTTAATAGGATACCCCAATCACACAATATATTAGATGTACTCTCCATTTAACCCATCCCACAGTTATTCTATGATTAACATTAACTTCAATTTTTTCAATTTTTTTGTAATTATAGATTTACTTAAAGATTTACTCCTACTTATTTTAAACTGAATATTCAGTTTTACTCCTGCTTATTTTAAATCCTTTTTACTCTAAATTTTCCCTCCAAACCTCCAAGTTAGCACTTGCTTCTTCTCTAATTTCATCAATAACAACAATATCATCAGCAAATAACATTCACCATGGAATCTCATTTTGGATATGTTTTGTCAGTTCAAATAAAATTAAGAGAAAAAGATATGAGCTTAATGCCAGTATTGTCCCTTTCATGTCCTCCATCTACATGTCCATTTTAAAAAAATAATAATAATAATAAAATGGACATTTGGTGGATTTTCGATACATGTCAGCATGTGTCCAATGCATATCCGTGTTTGACAAGGGGACATTGCTACAGCCCCCTAAGGGAGTTGTCAGTGCTTCCTAGTGTAGAAATTTTCATCAAACAGATTATCTTAAGAATTTTCACCAAAAGCACCACAAAACAAGAATGGAGTACATAAGTTCTAAGGCATTCAAACTACCTTTGGATGTGCCTCTAAAATCTTGGCCATCCTTAATGCTGTTGAATTTTGTTGCTGTACACGAAGATGCAGTGTCTTCATGCCTCGGATGATCAGATAAGCAGCGTTCTGAAAGAAAATCAACCAACTTTTAATATAATGCAAGCTCAAAATGCATAGCAAGGGACTAACTACATTGTGCCTCAAGCATTGCATTCAGGTGAAGTGTCCAGACCATAATGTAGTTAACATCTCATCTATCAAAAAAATAATAATGTAGTTAAAATCTCTAACATATTAATCAAGATAACTAACAGTGCCATCTTGTTTAATATGCCACAACTATCTTATGCTACAAGATTACTTAGTCGAGATAGATAGCTCACGGGGTTGAGAGCACCACCCATTATATTATGCAAGTTACCAATTGCTGAAATCAACTTCTGAGGACCACTAATGCAACCTGCAAGGACCTGCAACAGGAATCACTCTTTCTTAGCGCCTAACTGAATTTTTTTTAAATAGAGAGTCAACAATGAACGCTGACATACATCATTGTGGCCCCCAATGAATTTTGTTGCAGAGTGCAGAACAAGATCAGCCCCAAGGGCTAGGGCCTTTTGGTTGAGAGGTGTTGCAAATGTTCCATCTATGCAGACAAGTGCCCCCTTTGCATGGCAAAGCTTTGAAACCAACTCAATGTCAACACATCTCAAGAATGGATTAGTTGGAGACTCAGTGAAGAAAAGAGTGACCTGCATGGAATAACACCAACACTCATTTCACGATTACCTGTAAGGCTGTAATTCCTATGGTAATCACTCAAAGAGAGCCTCAAGCCAACAAAACAACCACTCTCTTCAATACTGACTTTGTTCTTGTCCAGTGCAGATTCAAGGGCTTCAATATCTGCAGGATCAATGATAGTGGCCTGGCATTTTGAAAATGAAAAGGGTCAAGAACAATTATACTCATAGAAAGAACAGAGCAGCAGGAGTATTCAAATATAGCCTAAATGCCCTAATATTTAATATATACAAATTATTGTCATCCATATTATCAAGAATGTGAAATGAAATTGCACTCAAAATAGGCAAAGGCAGCCACTTATATGCATATAAATACGATAGAATATTACACACAGACTTGAGTTTTTGTCCAATAAAAATGCCAGAAAATTGTTCCTCAACCTCGAGTTATGCAACTGACAACATTCAAATAATCCATAAAAAATGAACCACACCTTGATACCCATTTTGGGGAGAATGGTTTCAATAAATATCCGAGTCTTCCTATAGCAATCTGTGGTTGTCACGATGTGACCACCAGCAGGAACCAATGCCATCAACATAATAGTACTAGCACACATTCCAGATGCCATCAACAGTGTTGATTCAGCCCCTTCAAGTGCACTGTTTTAATTGAAAAGAGGAAGGCTTCTATCAGTATTAAATCATACAAATGCCATAAGAAAAAAGGAAATTGAACTGGATGACAAACCTTATCTTCTCCTCTGCAACCAATGTAGTTGGATTTCCATAGCGCCCATATTCAAAACTTGCACGGCGTTTCTCCTGCCAGGAGATACAGAAATTATATAATTTATCTGCCACATACGTCACGGCTTCCATAAAACAGCAATAAGAATTTCTCTCCCACTAAATTATCTAGCATTCTAAGAATACAACATAATTGAGCAAACATTATTGTATTACATTTTTTTCCTGAAGATTGCCACACTCTTCCTTTTAGATTGGCAACTTCCTCAAAACGATTATTTAATGTACAGACAAACTTCACATTTGCTGCTCCACTAGAAAATATAACTATGATCTGTACCTTGAAATCAATGAGCTCAGAAGTTTTGTTGAAGAAGTAGGCAGATGTATTGACTACTGGGGTAGTTATTGCATCAGTAACTATGCCGCGACCTAATCTTTCACCTGAGAGAATCAGAGGTAGAATCACTTCCTTCCTAATCACAAAATTGTTATTCATAAAACTAACATCATATGGAAGGCACATAAAATCAAACAAAACACAATTATTAGGACTCTTGTGCTGGTACTTCTTCCTCAATCAATAAAGAAGGCAAAATTGACCATTTGAGCATTATCTAAACTAGTGCCACTCTTCAAAAATTTGACAACAAATGGTCACAGACCCGATGTGAGTCTGATGAAATAAAATTTACAGTATGCTTATATAACGATCCACCCTATTCTGACGCACGAATAGAATACAATCGAGTTTTCAACTACATATTCAACATTGAAGGATATAATTTAGATATAACAACCACATAAGCACAAAATCAGTAACAACAGTTTCATGTAGTGTGAATTAGCAGACAAAAATGAACAAACAACTACACACCATAATATCCACATCTCCTTACTGGAGCACCAAATACTTTTTTATTGATATGATCAAAAGTCATAGACTTCAAATAAGACTCGTCCCTTCTAAAAACCAATTCCAAATATCTTTCTATACATACATTAGTATATTGCACCTGGAGCTTCATAAACAACTAACTCTATAAATCAATGCAAAAGAGTTGGTACGAAGCTAATCATACAAAATTAATGCAACCCACAAAGTAAATAAATGAAAATTGAACACCAGCAATATACATATAGATATATACCGGCATGAACTGCGATGCTCCCATCGGAGCTCAAAAATGAGGCCGCCTTGACATCGGCCGAACCCTCTAACTGTACACCATTGCTATTATAATAACTATTGTCAACCATCACCACCTTCTCATCAACGGCCACAATCTCAGCCGGCGAGACGGCTGCGGCGGCGGCTGCTTTAGCAGCTGCCGTCACACCATCAGCCGCCTGATTGTTCGACCACGAAGCGGCCACGACCTGAGCCACGCCTATGTTGCTGCAGTTCCTCCGAGCCTTGATGCTCAGCTGCCTCACAAAATTCGGAGGAAACCTAAAGATCAGAGACAGACCGTGTACAACGAACGATCCATGGCTCAGTGACGAGTTGGACTTGCCGGAGAATCGGCCGGAACTCGGCTTCTGCGGTCGCGGAACGCCGGAAAAGTCGGGATCTGAACGGCACTCGAAGGACGGGAAAACCCTAGCACAGCTTGACACGGCCATTTGGGACTGGAGGGTCAAAACCGTAATTTTGGGTTACGGTCTGTCTTCTCTAGAGAAAGGAGAGATCTCCACCCAGGGTGAAAATGCCGGCGCTGGCTTGTCGTTTATTAAACAGTTGCTACCGATTCGGTGGTTCGAGTTAAATTTAACCATTGTTAGGTATTTTAAAGTAACTATGGTTGAAATTTTGGATAATGACGATGGAAATGGAGCTCTTAAAATGACTGCCCTGTGTCACCCACAGAGTCACTATCCAATTATCTATCATATGCGAAGGCAACTACTTAAAACTTATTTTAAATTTTTTTTTAGCAGCATCACATTTTTTTAATGACTCAAAAATGTCAAATAACATTATATTATATATACTTCCAACCGTTTTTAATTGGGCTGGTTGGGTTGTTATAACTTTTTCAACATTGAACAACCACACTACATTGATCAGAACCACATACATAACGAAACTTACACTCCCTCTATCACATTTTAATTGAGGTAGTATATTCTAACAATGCAGCCTGAATAGCACAGCTAGGTTTCTCCCTGAAACTTTTGGAAGATAGAGCACAGGAAGCTACATTCAAATCAGTTAACCCTATGGCTTTCAAATCCTGTAAGTTTATATCACCCATCTTTAATTTCATATACGACACTATGATACATCACAGAACCATTCATTCTTCTACAGCCACAATTGTTTGTTTTTTTAGACCCAATCACTTGCAAACAACTCAAATTTCACGAAGAAACAAGCTCTCGGGGTCTCTTACCTCACAAAGTCATTTGGGTTGTCATTAGAATCTGCTATCTCAGCTTCTAAGAAGCTCAACATTAAGAGCGCAGAGAAACCAAGCTCGGTTCTTGAGCTCCTAAGGTCGCATGGATTCACTAAAAATCACATTTCACGCCTGATTTCCACCTACCCAGCTTTAATTTTGGCTGATCCAGATAGAACTTTGAGACCCAAAATTGATTATTTTGAATCTTTGGGTGTTGTCGGACCTGACTTGCCTATGATACTTTGTTCATGTAACGTGTTAGAGATTAGTTTGGAAAACCAAACACCAATGAGAATTTAATTTATGTTCTTAAGGGATGTAGCCGTGTGGTTCTGTTCAATGTTGAAAAAGTTATGGTGCCAAATATCTACACCTTGCGGACTCACGGTGTGCCTGAATCCCATATTGGAAAACTGATCATGTTGGTGCTAGGGATATTGATTTTCAGATTGTAAAATACTTCAATTTATGGAATAAAAAAGATATTTTCGAATAAGAGAATAATTATAATAAAATAATTAATATTTAATAATAATTAAACAACAAATATAATTGTATCAAAACAGAAAAACAAATCACAACAGAGAAAGATTGTCCTGGCTTGTTAGACGGGGAGGCACGCAATGCGCTGTTCTAAAGTCTTTGAAGTCTCCCTTAGGTAATTACGATCCACTAAAGACTTTAAGATACTGTTGGAAATGGGGGCATTAAAAATATAAACTTTGAATGAGATTTGGAATAGATTCCGCTAATAATTTTTTGCGGATCTCTAGACGATCGCATTTCTCTCCGTAAGAAGATGAACGTGGTATATTTACTTTCTCAAATCCGTTTCCGGGTGAATGAGAAATTAGTTCCAAAGTGTAGTGTTTTGATAAGCTTAAATGGGTATGCAAAATGTGGGAAGTGTTTGTCCCACATGAAAAAAAATGTTGAAACAAATTGAAATTTAAATAAGCTGAGTTTAGGATTTGGGCTTGAGCTTGGACCTAATTGTAAAGTCCAGATTATTCTTTTTTGGAATTTTGGATTGGGCCTAATTTTAGGCTGGACTTATTTAAATGGGTTTCACAAATGAGTGGGTTTTTTGGGTGGTTGGTTTTTTGAATTAAAAAAACTATTTTTTAGTTTTTCTAAAAGGTTACACCTTTTAAATTAAAAAATCATATTTTAGTTTTTCTAAAGGGTTACACCTTTTAAATTAAAAAATCACTTTTTAGTTTTTTCAAAGGGTTACACCTTTTTCCGAACCATCATAACCCATGGTTGCACCCATTCGAAAAGGCACATTGCAACCTATTGGAATGGATGTGTCTATTGGCGAATAGACACCAAGTGAACCATTGCAACCTATTGGAATAGATGTGTCTAGTGGTGAACAGACACCATGTAAACCATTGCAACCTATTGCAATGGTTGTGTCCAATAATGAAGACATACAACCAATCCGAAAAGGCATTTATGTTTCTATAAATACCCCCCTTTGGATCATTTGCAAGTTGTTCATTTTCATTTTCTTCTATCTCCCTCTCTAGACTTGAACCCAACCCAAGTGGGTTCAAACCATAGGTTAAGTGGTCCGAACCACTTAGACCCTAATCCAATTTCATCGAGTCATATTAAGATTGGTCCGAACCATTTGATTCGAATTGCACCCAATTCAGCATTTATATAGCATAAATGCATTTTTGAGTCAGAGAGAGTAGTACACGGAGAAGGTTCGATGTATCAACGAGTTTGTAGTGCTGCTACTGGTGGATGTAGACCGTTGTATCCTGGGAGATAGACGTCACTGAGTCCGTTAGCACCATAGCTGGGCGAATCTGTCTTAAGGACATAGTATCCAATACTAACCTCGGTCCAAGTTCTTTATTTATAATTATTATTTCATTAATTTATTTTGCATATTTAATTAAATATAGAGTTGCATATTTAATTAATGATTTCTTAACATATTGTTAATTATCTCATGACATATTAGTATAAGGTTTGTTATATCTTAAATGTCACATGAAACATATATTTTACCATCAGATACAACTCCAATGGTTACCTATGCACACGATCGCAAAGAAGCTTTCACCAAGTTTTGATGTTAGGTTGCCACAAAGAAATAGAGAATATATATATACTAGGTGTAGACTGTATGATTGCAGAGAGAGAATATAATTGCAGTAGTTTTTCTGAGAGTAGAAAAAGATCTTATTTTCTCAATGTCTCGGTTAATCAAAACCTACATATTAATAGAATTTATCACGTCTTTTCATCAACATATAAACTTAGATGTGCCATTTGGCTTAACAGTTATAGCATTTAATTTAATTCCTTTTAATTAATTATTATAATCTACAGTTAATTAGTTAAGGACTTCTTCTGAATTTATAACCAATAGAAATTCTAGAGTTGGAAGTTTTAAAACTTCTCTTGTAACTACAGTTGGAGCCTAGCGCATTAACGTTGAGAGTTGATGTGTTTAAAGAGGTTACTGATGCAGTTAAGGAAATGGGTTTTGATCCCAAAACTTGATCATACTTATTGGGTATCCGTTCAATGCTGGTGAATAGCACACTCAACTGGGAAAAGAAAAAAAAAGCTTATATGAGCTTTGGTTGGTCTAAAATCACATTTAATTCGGCATTCAAATTGCAACCGGGATGTATGCTTTCTTCACAGAAGAAGATTAGGGAACTGATGAATTTCTTGGTGAATAAGGCGGGGTTAAGAGCATCAGAGATTACTAAATGCCCAAATATTTTTCTAACTAGTTTGGAGAAGAGAATCGTTCCAAGATGTTCAGTTCTGCAAGTTCTGATGTCAAAGGGTTTGATTCAGAAAGATGTAGATGTGGTTTGGGTGTTGAATGGTAGCAAAAAGAATTTTGAGACCAGGTTTCTGACAAAGTATAAGGAGGTAGCTCCTGACGTAGTCAAAGCGTACGAGGGTGAGATAGGATTTCAAGTATTCAATATTAGTTTGTAGGGCAATTTGGAATCAGAGAAGCTGGCAGCAGAGCACTAACAAAAAGGTGTATATGAGTTTCTATCAAAATGATTTGGCTACATATAATGTCTGTCATCTAAAAAGTGATCCTCTAATCACTTAAATGAGGTTTTTTGGTGGTGATACAGCATCAGAAGAGGTAAGATCGCCTTGTTTATTATGAAGATCACATTAGCTTTCTCTGTCGACATTGTCATGTCTTGGAAATTTTCAGGATTATGTTTCTCATTTGCAGTGTCATAACATATGCTCTAATTTTTAAAATTTTGACAACCGGCACATGTGCTTCATAGTTCCATTTGAGCGGTTGTATCTTTCAATTATATATTCTTTTCTAGGTCCGCACTCTGTATAACACTCATGTGGTGATTGTGATGGTTGGGGTGTGTATTTATATAGGATTTACACTGGTTTAGGGGATTGCCTTGTTTTACCAGTAAGAAGATTTATTATTTATGAAAGGCTGGTGGTCATTTCCACGTGTGTTTGATTTTATTATGGCTAATTATTCCTGTGTGTCCTTACCTGCCTGTTCATTTATATTTTATGTAAAACCTCTATCTCTAGATTTAACTTTCTGTGATTTCATTACAGCTACAAAGTGTTAGGTGTCCTAATTTGCCTGTTCTTTCATATATAATGTTAAACCTTTTTCTTTAAAATTTAACTTATGCATATGAGAGATCTATTAATATGCAAATCTTCAATAGAAGAACAGCTTAGAGCTCACATATTGTGATAAGTATATTTTGAAGTTATATGCAGCATGCTACCAACCAGAAATAGCTTAATTGGGTATGGGATATTTGAATTGAGGAAAAGTGAAAAACAGTTTCATGGATCATTAATGAATTGGTCAAAGATATTAAATTTTTTCTTTATTATATATTCTAAAGGACCTTATCCAATGTATCTCCCACTTACACACTTTTGTTGGTTTTCACACTTATCAGTCGAAACTTGCCATTACACTAACTCACCAAGTAATGACCCCCGTAATATCTGTTTGCATATCTAAATACGATTGGTTCCTTTCAGTATACTTGTAATTCAGCAAATATTATTCTACCTCTACCTTGAGTTTTGATTATGATGATATTTGGCAAGGAAGAAAATTTAATTATTGTGAGCTATCTTATTCTTGTAGTAATATTCTCTTATTTTCTAGGTCACATATGGTATAGAATGGTAATAAGGAGAAGGTGAACAGTTTTTTCTAGAAGTGCATATGTGCGTATGACTAAATACATTGACAGAAAAAGCCTTTTTCTTCATTTTTTGAGTTTTTGTTAAGGGTTGATCAGGATGAGTTATACCATAATGTTAAGAGGACTATACAAAAAAATCCTTTTGTGATATTCCTTGTCTTGTTTACTCAGAGTTCCTTTTTTTATATAATTTTTTTTTTTAGCACAGACAAGTTATAGAAGGATATTTATTCTGACAAGTTGAACTAATAACATGCCTTTATTTACATAACAACATTCCAGAATATGTTTGAATGATGAGATTCCTAATTATACTCTGGCAATGTGTAATATGTCTTAGGTTCTATAGAGGTTAGAATTAGATTTAGTTGCAAAGAAAGAGATTATTAATCGATCTTGAGTATTTTTTGTCCAGAGTTTACTTTTGGTGTCATTGATTGCTCTTCATCTACTATGCAGTCATATATAATTTTATGAGGGCAATTTCTTTCTTGGAGGCAATGATTGTCAGACAGTCTATTTTAACGGAGCTTGGTCTCACGTTGTCTATGTGATTAAGGATTGTAAGGGAATTTTGAGGTTATTGGCTACTATTCAAAGGGGACATGTAGTCCTTGCCTCCTTGGCACAAAGAAGCTTTGGTGCATAGAGCTGTTTTGGAAATGATACCCTCTCAAGGAATTTTCTATTGCTTACTGAAAATGATCTCCTTGCACGTCTGTCCTGTTTTTGCTGTTTTTGGTTCAAAAAATAGTGATATAGGTCCTGTTACCACATTTTTAGGTAGTCTGCAGTTGATTATTAGGCTTTGCATGGTTTAACATTGTAAGAGTTGCTAGATCTAACGTTTGGGAGGGCCATGTTAGATGTAAAATGGCCCTGAAATACAGGGTCAATACTATCCATATTTGATTGGTGTTAAAGGTTAATGCTGATAAGCATGAGAATATATGATTTAGTCCAAGAGTAGTGTTTTTGTGCAAATCCATTTTTTAACTGGGCTGTTATAACTTTTTCAATGTACGTTTTGATCGTGGGTCTCATTTTAGTATATTAAGTTTCTTTATTGATGGTTCACTTGCGCTATTTGATGATATTAACCATTTTTCTCATCTTACTTCCTTTTTATCTTTTTCCATTTTGTGGGTTGATGGGTTGGAGTTATTATTAGGGCAAATATTGGTTGAAGAAATCAATGATATTAGTATAAATTACCCTTCTTCCTTTCAACTTATTGGTGTATGAATGATTTGGTATATATTCTAACTATTATGTCCTCTTCTTGTACTTCGATTTTTGTTTGGATGATGACTTTTAAGTTTCAGATTAAGCTGTGTTTGGATTTTCTTTTACATGTTCCTTTGGGTTTTTAAGGTAACAGACAAGTTGCTAGATGAGTTGAGAGGAGAAACTTGTTGAGGCAGTTTTGTCAAGATGTTATCCTTTAATTTGGTTTTAAGATTCTTGGGTAAATATTTGGCAAATTTTCTTACGTGCAAGTAGAGAGCTTGGAAACCATTAATTGTTGTTCTCCAGATGTAATGAACCATTCATCTTTTTCAATAAGTTAGCTTGCTTCAACAATGATGGTGTTGATGATGATAATGATAATGATTTGTAGGTTTTTAAAAAAATCTTAGTGGATTATAGTTTTTTTTTTTTTTGAAAAATAGTGGATTATAGTTTATAGCAAAGCTCTCTCAAAGGAGTTGGCAGCTCAAAGTCATTGGGTGGGTTAATTGAGTTTCGGGCTGGGCCGGAGTAGTTATTAAGTCAATACATTTTTACTGAAAAAACTTTCCTAAGACACAGATAGCCCCGAGTATAAAAACGTTGAGCCCAATTAGGATGCGGAAGGTATTCATACTAGCAAAATAATAATTATGATATAATTTATATTATTTTTGTTTATAAAAATATATTCTAAAAATTATTACCAAAATTGATCTTATGCCATGTTTGGTGTGCAGAAATGGAACGTAATGTACATTTCAATTATTTATTTGTTTGGTATGCAATTTAAAATGGCAATGATCATTCCATTGAAATGAAAATTTATTTCATTACTAAACCTATTGAATGGTCATTCCATTCCCAAGTAATATATTTTTAAAAATCAAGTTCTCAAAAAACTCTCATGCTCCAAATCTAAAAACCACCACCACTATCTTCAACTAACACACCGCCACCACCTCCAGTGCCTTTAGCCACCGCCACCTCCACTGTGGCTGCCACCACCACTGAGTTTCACTACTGGCACCGATTTCCACCACTAACACCTTCAACCACCACCACCACCACCACTACCTTCCACATCGTCACCATTACCACCACATTGTCGCCACCTTACACCACGGTCACTGCCACCACCACCAATGTAGCTGTCTTCCACCACCATCACATCGTCGTCACCTCCACAGCCTTTCATTGCCGCTTCTACCACTACCGCCATCGACTTCCATCACCACCACCACTTTCCACCTGTCACATCCATCACTACCGGCACCTCAACCAACTTCCATCACCACCACCTTTCACCACCGTTGTCGCCATTTCCACCTCCACTGCCACCGACTTCCATCACTCCACCACTACCGCCACCACCTCCACTGTTATCGACCTCCATCACCACCACCGCCGTCGCCACCTTTACCTCTACCGCCACTGACTTCCATCACCTCCACTACCGCTACCAATTTCTATCACCACCACTGTCGTTGCCACCTCCACCTTTATCGCCACCGACCTCCACCACTGCCACATCCACTGCCATCTTCCACCACCATCGTCACCTCCACTACATTCCACCACCACCACTGTCATCTTCCACATCCACCACCATCAACCATAGCCACTATTTCTTAATGTTATTTTGTCAATTAAAATTATTTGCCACTAACAGGGGTATTTTGAAGAATTTAATTTGAAATTTTTTATTTTTTAAAATTTATATTAGTCTATTTCTATAGATTTCATATTTACAATTAAACAATAGAATGAAAATGACCATTCCACCGAACACAACATTATAGTAATTGTCATGAACTCTCTTTATAAATTACATCATCACATTGTCCATATTAAAATGGTTTTATTATATATATGTATATATTTTTACAAAACTCAAAAAGGATTTTAAAATAAAATTATACGAATCGGTCAAATATAAGATTTTAATTTGTCATAATTAAGTCAAACTAAAGAAACATAAAAGTTTGCTTATGTGTCCAATGTATTGCAAATTAATTTTAATACGAAAATTTGATTTGTTAATCTTCTTACAATTTTCTTTTACAAGGTTAGATGAGCCTCTTTCTATTGTAAATAATCACACCCCTCTCTCTCTCTCTCTCTCTCTCTCACACACACACACACACACACACAAACCAACTGTAAACCCTTTAATATTATTATTATTATAATTATTATTATTCACTATTTGCGCTGTTATATAGTAGGCCGATGGCCACAGGCCCATTCTCTTTACCCAAAAAATAAAATATAAAAAAAGGCCATCGGCCCATAAGGGTAAAGGGCTGACGTAAGCAAGCATCGTCCATCAACTAGACGCTTCTTACCGTCGATGCCCTAATTTGAAGAGCCCTATAAATCTCTCTCTGCTTTTATTACTCTTCAGAAGCGTGAAGCTGCTGTTTGCTGGAAGGTGTTTTATCACACATGTATTGTTTGCTAATCTCTTTGTTTATATGTTCAAATGCTTTCCAGTATTGCTTGATTTAATTTGAATTTTTTTGTATGCATTTTAATTTTTTCTTATATAGGAAATATAATTTATCATAGTTTGAATCTGTTTTTTTTTTTTTGGTTAAGTTGTAATAATAGCTTTAGCTTGTTGATATGACTAATCAATTTGAAAACCTTACATTGTTTTAATTTGAAAACTTTTATGCATTTTTACTTTTTTTCTTCATTATTACAACAATGATACATATTTATTCTATAATATGTTGATATACATTTGATTAAGGTATCTATCCACCCGTAGATCCTTTAGATTATATAGTAAGATTTATATATTGAAATCTATATTTATCAGATTGTGGATTCATGTTCCTTTTCATACTTTTGAAAGATTTGATGCCAAAGCATCCCAAATATTATACTACCGTATTATGCAAATAACTGTGAACAGATTGCTGTTACTTCATCATTTGATAATTAGTTTTATGAATTCGCACGGACATACATGTTTATGCTGTTTGAAAACATGCGCATGTCTTTGTGGACGATTTGTGTGTGAACATATCTGGTCTTGATGGAGTGTTCACGTGACACATGCTTATGGCTTCAAAATGGGACCATTTGGAACACAAGGTCTCCTTGTTCCTTGGGACTCGTATGCTCTTGAAGGGTCGCATTCCTTTGTTCTTGAAGGCACGCATCGCCTTTAAGATCCCTTTATTGAACTTCCCCTCTACCTTAGGACTCTTTAGGATTGTTTTATTGCATTTCCTCCCTTCCTAAAGGCACATATAGCCTTTAACATCCTTTTACTACTTTTGATCTCGTTCCTTAGGACTCGAATGCTCTTTAGGATCATTTTATTGCATTACCGAGGCACGCATAGCCTTTGTGATTGTTTTACTACTTTTATCTCGTTCCTTAGGACTCCAATGCTCTTTAGGCTTGTTTTATTGCATTTCCTCTCTTCACATTGCCTTTAAGATTGTTTTACCACATTTACCTCGTTCCTTAGGATGACTTGCAGCAATGGACTGCATGATATATAGATAGAGTTGTGGTTAATCGTAAATTTGTAATACACATTGACTATTTTGTTATTGCTCTTGGTTACTTTCCTCATCCTTCCTTTGAAATTATGATGTTCATGAATAATTTGGTGATGTAGTTCTATTAGCTGTTAAATCTGTGTTTTTGGTATATATTTCCCATCCACCTTTTGGTCTGTTGTATTAATGGTTCATTTGTTCTCAAATGATACATTTCAAGGAATTGAATCATATGCTAATTTGTAGGCAAGACTAACTGTTTGATTATTTTGAGTTGACAAATTAATATTAGACTGTTATAATTTTTTACTAAACTATAAAATTGCACGAGGAATGAGGCTCCATGACTAATTGATTTTTGGTTGCCGAATCTAATTGTGCAGAAACCAAGTGTGGGGATTCGCTTTCCAGGTGACTGAATGTAGTTTTGCTGGCTGTAATACCCCTACATCACCTAACTTACTAGTTAATAACAAGCATCAATATTAATTTATATGATTGATTACTTTATAATCTTGTTGGGGAGAGGTATCTGATTGTGATATTTAAGATTAACTGTGTTGTTTTCTATGTGGTGAATTTTTCCCGTCATTTTTTTTTTTATTATTTTTTTTTATCAACATTTTATTTGCTCTTTTCTTGAACTCGGTATATTTGTTAGACCGGATTGCAAAAATGGTTTCAATCATATGTCAAGTATTTTTTTTTTAGGAAATTGTTAAATTCGTTCCTAAACTCGTAGCAGAGACGATTCCTGTTGTTGTGTTTAATCCCAGCAAATAATGAACTTCACTGCAATCTGTACACACCTCAGAGTTGATAATAGTGTCCTGCGAGGCTTAGCTGAGAATTGTATGTTAATATAATTCATCTTTTGAGTTGGGGGATTTATTTTTCAGGATGAATTGTTTCGAGGGTTAATGGAAAAATAGAACTTGGTTATTTTTAAAGTAATACTCTGTTTGCTCCAATTGTATTGAATTGTTTTCTTGTTTATGGAGGGAGTTTGAACTTTTAATTTGTGTGAGGGAGTGGAGATGAAATTGGGAATTGTCATTGTCTTGATGGACAACTCTTTAGTGTTATGTTTCAATGAATAAAGACAATACGTATTACAGGTTTATGACTGTTACCGGATTGTGAACGCTACGTGGATGTGAGAACAAGGGATCTAGATAACATTTGGTCTTTGAAATGCAGTGCACTGATTGTGGACAATGACCCATCGTCATAAAATTCGAAGTAGCATCTTTTTCAATGAACTGTCTTGAGCTTTGGGTTGAACAATACAAGAACCAAATTCTATTTTTCCATTACTTGATTATATGTATACATGTGTGTGTGTATATATATATATTTATAATTTTATTTTTTTTGGACAAAAATGTTAAGGGTTAGTTGGTAGAGGAGGGGGTGGATGCAAAGCTGAGCAAGGAGACACAAGGAGTAATCTAACCATTCGGCCCCTACGGCTTGCCACTGCTTGATTATATAGCAGAGCTCAATTGATAAAACAACATAAATGTGTCTCGAATTTTGTTTTGTGGGAAGGAAATTTCTGTTGACCCATTTCTGTGTTTGTGGGTATACCTTGTTCTTTTGTAATATGGTATAAGTATGGTATATAAATGGTGTTCTAAGGTTTGGAGTGGAATTATTTCGAGTATTGAAAATTGCAAAGGTTAATGCATTTAGTGAAAATTGCAAAGGTTAAAGCTTTTATATCAAATACAATTAAGTGAAAGGGTTTTATTTTTTTATTTATTACATAATTGATCAATTAAAAAAGTAGGTTTAGTAATTCACTGAAATTATGCAAGAAATATTTTTCTAAATGATATTTGTTCATTTAAAATAAAAATAATTTTATGATAAAGTAGTGGAATAATTGTATATATGATATAAAAAAATATTAAAAATAAATTAAGTTCTATAAAAATATTTATATAAATAAAAATTAATATTTATATATAACTGTTTGTACATGTCGACGCCGTATCAATGTTGTATCTAATATGCCTTATATAAAAAAGAGTAAAGTGCAAAAAAACTCTTTTAAACTATGTTTGAATTTGTAAAGAACTATATTTTGTACATAAAACTCCCTAAAATATTTCATTTTGTTGCAACATACTCCTAGGATTATACTATATTTCATTAAATGACCTTAATGTTCCTTCTTATTGAATTACATTTAATATATTTTTCTTATCTAAATAAATTATGAAAAAATTAATACTAATTTGATAAGATATTTTCATTAAATTTGCATAAATTTATCTTTAATTTTTTTAATGAATTATTAAATAAAAATTTTTAGTAGAATTTTTTTAAAAAATTAATTAATTTTTTAATTTTTAATGAATATATTACATGAAAAGAAGGTATTTTTTTTAAAAGTATTTTATTAATTTTTTATCAATATATTGTACGAAAAGATGATATTTTTTTTACGATAAAAACGTTTAAATTGTAATACGTTTTATTATAAATAATAAAGTTTTAATAATAAGTTAATCAATTTAGAAAATGATAATTATAAATCTATTTATCTATTTTTTTCTTCATTTTTATGATAAATTGATACTAAAAATAAAATTAAGGTAAATAGTATAATTAATATTTACATAAGAGAGAAGATAATAAAAATAATTTAATAAGAAAGAAAAATTTTAATGAGAAAGGGTAAAATAGTATTTTGTGATGGATTTGTCCTTAATTGCAACAAATCAATAGTTCAGGAAGCGGTTTTTAGTTCTGGAGATTATCTGTAAAAGAGCAATAGTTTAGGGTTTTTTTTTACACTTAGAGCATTTCCAATAGGGTTGTCATATGAGTTGCCAATTCAAAATATAGCAGGTGGGTTAAAATTGGGCTCTCCAATGAGCTGCTATATTGGCTGCCAAAATTTACCTTTGCCATTTTTGGTGCCAAATCTAGCAAAACAAATAACAATAGCTATTCTATATTTTGTGCCAAATCTAACAGAAATATATGGGTTTTGAACTTTTGATTACAAAACAAGAATTACTAACCTTAATATATATATATGCATACACAAAATTAAGAATTACAAACCTCGATTAGTTGATTTAGAAAAAAAATTAAAACAAAAACCATACATACAAGTTAGTAGTTGCATAGAGAGGGGGGGGTGGGGGCCCAAGTTTGAAAGTTGAGAGACAGCGGCTGAAGCTTGCGAACGGTGAACCCGAACTAGAACAGTGGGCGATGGAAACTGAAATATGGATTTTGATTTTTTGTGGGTTTTGATATAGGTAATAGGTTTTGAACTTTGGATTCTTGCAGATTGATAAATAAATTGAAATATATGGGTTTTGAACTTCTGATTCTTGTAGATTTTGTAGATTGCAGTTGCAGAGAAAGAGGGCAAGTTCTCAGAGTTGAGAATGAGAGTAGAGATGGATGCGATTGGGGGAGGCTGAAATGATTTGCCCTAAAAATATATATATTTTTAATAATAATATAATCAAATTTATATAATATACATATATATATATATATATATATATATATATATATATATATATATATATATAATATGAAAAATGATAAGTCTTCCGACTTCAATTGCTGACTCATCCTCTGAATACAACGTGGTTGGATCACGTTAGAACTCTTAAAACAAAATCCCGTAAACATTTTTTTCTTTTCGACTCATTCATAATCACGTTGTATTCGGAGAATGAGTCGGCAATTAAGGTCAGATGATTTATCACTTCTATATCTATAAATTTCCGAAAAAGAAAAAAAAAATATTATGTAAAAAAATTAATTCACAAATAGTGGTAAAAAAATAATAATAAATTTGTTTTTTTGTTTTTGTTTTTGGTCCTTTTTTGACTAAATATTTTAGATTTTTGCTTCTTTTTAATTAGGTTTAATTTTAGTTTCTTCTAATGTCAAAACTTGACTTGAAATGTGCTTAATATTAATATTACTGATACAAATATAAATGATGGGAATGGTAGTTGGAAAAGATGGTGGGTGTGTAAAAAATTAGCATTTTGCATGAAATGTACTATTGAAACAGAATTGCTAAAATGTAGTATTTTGACACTATAACACCTGTCAAAATATATATTGACATGTAAAAATGACTTTTAATATTGGATATGGTCTTAACCCTACATAATAAAAGGTTAAAAGGAAGCTCTAATTGCGGAATTTATCATACAAAAAAAATCTGATAAATTGAACTCCAATCACTTCAAATTAAAAGACCACAAGTGGTATTGTAATATCGAAAATGCCACTGCAACATTATTTTGATATAAAAAAATTATTTGATTTTTATGTTTTTAATTTTAAGATTTTTCTTATCATGATTCTCCTCTTCCCGTCTCATTAATGGGTATACTCACGGTTTGTTTGGAATGCTGGATTTGATAGAATTTGGATTTTGATTTGGAAACATGATTTGCCTTGTTTGGAACCACATAATTATAAATGGGATTTGATAATTATAGGATTTGAAATCCCTTTTTAATTGTGTTTCAAATCCAGTCTAAAACGTTAGGATTTCACGGGATTTCACGCAATAAATATTCATTATTTTTATATTTCCTTAATTAACCCTCCAACCCTTATTATTATTAAACCCTTCTTTTTATTAAACCCTATCCTATATAATAATACCATTATTTTAATGATATATATATATATATATATATATATATATATATATATATATATATATATGAGTGTTGAGCATATATCTAATTTTTATTTATTTATTTATTTTTTGTATACTTCACTATCTTAAATTGCCTTTAACATATTGATCCTCAAAGTTGTTACAGAACTTTGAGTAACATATCGATTTCTCAAAATTACCAAAATTGTGTGTTTAACAGATTGATCCACCATCACTTTTGTATTCTTGTATTTGAAATATATATAATGCAGAATTGCTGCAATCCTCCTTAATTCACACCAATTTTTTTTGTTTGGTATACTCCAATATCTTAAACTACGTTTAACAGATTGATCTACCACAATACAAGAATTGTATAACCAAAAGTCTGCGTTTAACAAATTGGTCCACCACCTTGATTTTTTTTTTTTTTTACTTATAACCAAAAGTTATGGAATCTAATACTTTAGTATTTGTGTACTTAAAAATTTAAACAAATAGAGCAGAATTTTATAACTAAAAGTCATATTATCTAATTCTTCATAATTCACAAATAAATCATATATATATATATAAGCCAATATAGACAATATTATCTTTAGAAATGGTTTTTTTTTTTTTTAAATTAAATTTCATGTCGCAGAGTTCCACGTAATCATTCCTTGTTTGTTTTCATGATATAACTTTGGACTATATTTTACAATAAAATAAATATTTTATTTATTATTTAAACAAGGGCAAAAATGATATTATATTATTTTTATTCAGAATCCTATTTTAAATTTAATTTATTCCAAACATATAAATAGAATTTCATTTTTATTCCAATTCCTATTTTAATTCAGATTTCTTTTTCTAATCTTAAAATAATTGATTCCAAACAAAACATCAATGTCAACCCTATCAAATAACATGTTCCTGTTTATTTGTCTACATCCGCAAATTGTTTTATGAATCTTAAAACAGCATTAATTACAACTAAAGAGGCCACACTAAAAATGATGCTGATTTAATGTGATTTATAAAGCATCAAACAATTTTGTTACAGTATTAAATAACTTATCAATGTGATGTTTTTGTTTCTTCAAGTAAAAACCTATTTCTACATAAAATCATTTATCAAAATACCTCTCCTAAGATTTTGTCCTGTTTAAATTTTGTCCGCCAGCCAGTGTAAGAATTTAAATATACTTTAAAAAAAAAAAAAAAAAAGTTTATGAATTGATAAAAGGATAAAATATTAAGATTTTGGTGTTTTAGTTTATGAAAGAGTATTTTAATATCTTTAGTACTATTATTAAAGGTATTTAAAGAATTATGCAATATAATAAATAGAGCTGTATGAATATCTTTAGTACTTTTATGAAAAATGTTTTTTTGTTTTCAAATAATTGTAAAACTTAAAACTCTATTAAATTTTGTTTGGTAGTGAGCTTCTTAAAAAAATAAAAAACACTAAAGAAACAGTTACTGTAAAAGCAACATTTTGTAGTTTCGGGCATCAACTGAGTTCCGCCATATGTTCTCTTTCTTATCACAATATTAGATATTGTGTTTACTATCAGTACTTCAAATTTTCCTGGCAGCCAAACAGGAGTGGAAAGTAGTACATTTTTTCTAATCAAGAATGTGACGTGAAACTAACAGCAATAAAGTCACCATTAATACATATATCTCTTATTGGACTTTTCTCCACGCGTCAAGATTCATCATAAAAGATTTTCGGTCATTCATTGAAGACTATTCTCACTCATGGCAGCACCTTAGAAATCAAAAAATGAGAACAGAAATTTAAATTGGAAAAGTAAAGATATATATATATATATATATATATATATTTATAAACTTTCATTGACTGACTTGACTCCAATGAGTTGAATTGTTGACCATACAGAGGAATGAAACATTGCAACTTGATCTAACGGAACTCAAAACACTGACAATGCACATAAGAGACAGAGTCTACTTGGTTCTTACATTGCAATGGCCGTTGACATAAACTTGATCAGAACATTGGTGAATCAGATGGCGAAGAATTCACCAAATTAAGGATGCTATTCCAATAATTATTGTTCTCATCACAATGATATTCACTCCCACTGCCACCACCGTTGTCAGAATCTCCGCCACCATCGGATAAACTCCGGTGATCGCCGTAATTATTTAGCAAAAGCTCAGTAAATCCCTCCACAAAAGTTTCACCGTTGACATGGTCGTCATTCGTAGCTGTCCTAAGAGACGACTCTTCTTGTGTCCATGCCCCTTCCAAGGACAGTGTCATATCATCCCTAAACGACACCGTATTCTCCATCCCATCTTTGTATTTTGACAAATTTGTCCAATTTCCAAACCCTCTCCAATCTTCTTCACCCTCTTCTTTCAAGACACCACCTGAATTCCCTATTCCGGTGGCGGCGATTGGCATAGCAATCTCGGAAAAGCTAACCGTTGACTTGGGTGACTCGAGGTCATGACCACCTAGCCCGGCAGCCAAACCTCCTCCACCACCTGCTTCAGTAGGCTTATTAGTGGTTCTCCACTCACCATTCCAAGCTTTGAGTATGTCAAGACACGGTGGCGGGATGGGTGGCGCAGACGGCTTGTTGGAGGAGGTGGAGGCGGACGGGGCGGAGCTAAGCTGATTGAATGAGTTGGAGGAACGTAGCTTTGATTGTTTAGCGAGTCTGGCCTCGGCTTCGAGCCGGGCACTCTCCCACTGAGCCATGTGGCTAAGGTTGGCGGCGTTCTTGGAGTGACCGTCAGTTGGGGAGACGGCAGCAACGACGTCGTTCCTGGGCTGGTGTGTGACTGGGTCAATCCCCATTTTGGCTAATCTTTTCTTGAGATGAGTATTCCAGTAATTCTTGATCTCATTGTCTGTTCTTTTGGGCAAGTGAGTTGCTATAGCCGACCACCTGACCACAAGCAAAACATAAAAGACACAGCAATCAATAACTGTGCAAGAAAAATGTACACCAACTACAATTAATTTTTTTTTTTTCCCCTCATATTTAAATTGTTATGTTAATCGAAGAAATTAAATATGTGATTCTTTGCACTTAAATTAAGATACCCATGTGTTGAATCCAAAGAACGAATTCAAATTTGGAAATATTTGAATGTCACACTATGCGAATTATGCAAAAACAGTAGATACCTATTTCAGAATTTTGGGTACTAACAGAAATAATTTGTAGAGTACAGTGGGATGACCATTCTAATTTGAACACACAAAACATGTACAATTTCTTTCTTGTTTTTGCAATGATTTGAAGCTGAGTGCCTCAACATTTAAACCATCTTAAGAGGCCTATATATATGTATATATATATTGTTATGAAGCTCCATATTTGTTCATTGAACAATGTCCTTTAAAATTGAATCACTACCCAAGAAAATGCCAATTGAAAGGCAATTAATGATTCAGAATTCAGAGAACAAATAGCTATAAAAGTTCTATATTAATTGCAACAACTGCAAATTAAATAACCAAGTGTCTTCAAAGGCTACTCATAACACACTATGAAAAATCTGTATGTGTGTGCATGTGTATATATATATGTATAGCACCTGTTCCCTAAGAGGGCATGGAGTTGAATGACGGTTTGTTCTTCCTGTAAACTGAACATATATATATATATATATATATAGGTATTGCACCTGTTCCCTAAGAGGGCATGGAGTTGAATGATGGTTTGTTCTTCCTGTAAACTGAACTTCCCTCTCTTAATATCAGGTCTCAGATAATTAGTCCACCTCAATCTGCAGCTCTTCCCACATCTCTGAAGACCTATATATATATATATGACGCATGTATATGTAAACACTATATATGTGTGTGTATAATTGAATAGCAAAATTAAGTTATGAGTGTAATAGTTGTTAGTACCAGCTTTGGCAGGCAAGGCTCTCCAGCTTCCATGGCCGTGTTCTTCGATGTAAGCTAAGAGCTTTTGATCTTCTTCAGGTGTCCATGGTCCTTTCTTCAAACCAACCTTGTCACAACATGGTGATCGACCCATTGTCAGTTGCAATTAAATGAGATATGTGGATCAACAACACCAAAGAAGATATTGTAGCTTTTGCTCTACTTATAGTACTCTTCCAACAAGAAGCTATGTTGAAGCGAAAGAAAACAAGAATTGAAAGAGCTAGCTATTATAGTGAATAAAGAAAGATATGGGCAGTGATAAAAGGTCACTCAGTCTTCGACATTGATGGGATATTGATAACAGTATTGCTCAGTGCGTGTCTACCTTCATATGACTATACTACCCTCTCAACTATCAACCAACCTATCAATTTTACTTGGTAACGAGGGTCTCCATCGTGTTATGTCCTTTTACATCCGTAGAGTATATAACAATTTCATACCATTTATGTAATAACAATAGTTACATTATTATTAAGAGTCTTGTTATATTTAAGTATTATTGTTTACGAAAAAAAAAATTCTTTTCAAAGTAAAAAACTTAATTGATTAATTAATAATAAATAATAAAAAACTATAATAGGTATCGAAAAGATAACATTATTTAAATCTGGCATAAAAGTATTGTTGGCTAAAGTATTTTCATCTTGTGTATATAGCATTGTTCTTTATGTAAATTTTATAATAATCAACAAAGTTACAGTTATAATGTTACTTGTTACAAGTGTCCAATATCGGATTCGAATGAGAAAGTAAATGGATATATATGGACAGGGTGATAGCCTCTTTTAACAATTTAAGTTTTTTTTGATCATTTCGTGTAACACTCATCCGTTACAGCTAATATCAAAACTAGACTCAATTCTTAATTCGATATTTTGAATAAAAATTTCATCTAACAAAACTTAAACTTTTAAGTCAAATTGCAAAACACGTAGCGTTACACTACTCCACTATCATTTTAGAATTTCGTTATTTGGAAGACATTTGAGCTTTCAATACAGTTATATTGGCTCCATGCCTTGTCTTGAAATAAAACTTGAAGGTACGTATTAATTGCAAATTAATGGGGTTATGATCGAAATAATGAGGTTTGACAAACGAATCTCAATTACTTTCCCTGTTACAACTTCTCATCATGATCATTTATTCATTCTTAATGGTAACTTCCACTCCCAATTTATCAACCATGTTCACAATAATGCATGGATTTATAACGAAGAATACTTTTAAAATTAAAGTCGAACAATTTTACAATTCATTTAAGTATTCACTATATATATATATATATATATATATATATATATATATACACGTGTCCTTTTTTGTACACTGCTTTGAAGTCTATGCATAGACGTCGGCTTCATTTAATTATCTGGGCTTAAATTAGTTTATCAAAAGTCAACCTAAATCAACCAACCAATTTTACGGCTACCAAAGGAGGTACTGTCACAGAAGTAATTGAATTAAATTCTATAATTTTGACTAATGCGCCTTCATTGGCATAGCTTTTGCTACAGCAGAGATAGAATTAGAGATTATTACTTTTATTTAGCTTATATGTTAGTATTTAAAAAATGTATTTTATAAGTGCTTTTAATGCCAAAAAGATTTTTCAATTTGTTTGGTAAAATATTTCTTGAAGCTCTTTTATTATTGAAATAATTATTTTGTCCTTAAATGAAATGTTGTGTTTTTTTTTTTTTTTTTTTGAACTAACAGCATAAGATACTTTAAAAAATAAAAATAAAAAATTATATTTTTTATACAACGCACACATACAAATAAATCATTCAATGTAATCAAATCTATCCATCATAATAATAATAATAATAAAGAGATTGCAAAAACTAGTTAGCGATTTGAAATTTTTTGTAACTAGGGTCAATGAATTATTACTTTCTCATAATCTAAATTTCACAATTATTGTATGATATTAAAAGTCATATAATTTGTGATAATACTAAATTTTGTCACTCATTTACAATGAATCTCATGAATTAAATTTTTTTCTTTTTCTTTTCACATTGTTAATGTCTATAAAATGAGAAATAACAAACTTATTCATTCCTGTCAATTATTTGTTTTTTTTATTATTAGTTTTCTTTCTTTTTTTCAACATCAATATATATTGATAAACTGAAATGGGAAAGAAAAAAATTTGTGAATATGGGATGAAACGTTTATTCATTGAAAGCTGTTGAAGTTCAACGGATAAAGTTAAATTAAGGAGATAACAACATTCGTTGCGTATGAAAATATTCAGGAATAAACTGAAAGAGTTCTAATAATTTCTCATTAAGTAGTTATGTCTTATTATCTGTATGTTTTCATAGCCTCACAAGCAAATCAAGAAATATGATGATAATAATCTTTAGAATTTTCTTCGGTAGAATGCTCCAGATGCAAAGAATGCAATGGTGAATTTTGTCTTTCGGAAGAAAATTAAGCAGTCCACTTGGAATTATATTAATTTGTTAGGTAATAAAAAGGTACACTCGCTATTTAAAAAATTTCATTAAAAGACCTAAAGCTTTTTGTGTATTTCTTAAAAGATTGTTTTGGACCAGTTTCTCTAAAATACTCTTTTAAGACGCAAAAATACTTTTTAAAAACTAGCCAAATACTACACAAAACAACTTTTAAGTCCTAAAAGACAAAAGCAGCGTTTAAAAAGCCAATCCAAACAGGACCATTACTATCAACTGTTAATATATATATATAAAAAGTCGGAACTTTCATAATCAGAATCAAATCCACCTTATCCAACTAATCTAAGGTGAATTATTGTCTCTAGTGAATTAGTGTCTCGAGTGGATTAGTGCTTCCCGTGTATTTTGGAATGCCAAATTTCGACTCCCTCTACTTGTTAATCTAACTTTCAACCCTTCTTACCTTGTAAAAAAAAAAAAAGATTCAACAAAATCTCACTTTGGTACAGCATTTCTTTCTGATTTACCAGAGGAGATGACTTATGCTTGCCAAACAAAGTACATTAATAAATGGCTTGTCCACCATGGTTGAATTGATCAAAGCCAGTTAAATGAGTTGCCTTTTCTTGAATGCCCACGTACAGCTTCACAGTGCAGCTTGGTGTGTCTCTCATGCTTGCTTTACTATGCACTGTCGGCGGGTCAATATACACTTCATTCTTTTACTTCAACAATTCTGTATGCCTTCCAAAACTTTGCTTCTGCGGTTAATATTTGTAGGACAACATAAGGTGGATTTACCACATAATTTGTACACTATCTCATTGGTCCGGTCAATTACTATTTGAGTAAAAATTAATATATTTATTTAAGTTTTAAATCACAATTTGGCTAAAATTAAAGATACCAGATCATATAATAATTTCTCTTCATAATGGCATCCATGTGATGTTATGTTATCAATTTGTGTCAATGATTAAAACCTTGTCATTTAGTAGTACTTTTTTATATCCGATTCTAAGTTTTTGTAAGAAAAAAAAGTGAATGTTTTGAATATATTTATTGCGAAATTATAAAATTAAAAAATAATTTTCTTTTCCTTTTGTCTTACTTACCTTATCAAGAAAGGAAACTTTTTCCTTTATGTGTGGATTTTTTTTATACCATATTTGTTTAAATTAAAATCATGCACTGTATTTCATATAACATCAAAACCATTTACTCAGATATTTTGGACAAAGAAAAGAGTCAATTGAAAGCAACAAAGAAGAGAGCAATGATTTGAAATTTAAGCAAAAAAAATAAAAAATTATTATGTCTCAAGTTAATCTCCAATTGATTATTGAATCTTTCCAACCCATCAAATTCATTATTGAATCTTTCATTTAATTGATTATTAAACATCTCTTGGATGAAGGGTCACGCATTTTCAAGATTCTTTTTAGATTCTTGATTACAATTAGAGGTCTTACAAAAACAAACTTCCATAGATTATTTTAATAAAATGTAAACTTGTTGCCTAACCAAGCTGTTATATGTTGTTTTTCCTTTTTAAGAAAAATTTCGGAACTCTTCGTAAATTGGGAGTTTGGATCTTCTATTGTAATGATTATTTGGTGTAATGGCACTGTAACTTATCAACTCATTAATTAGGAATTTTAAGTTAACACATTTAATTTTACTTTTAAACACAATAATTGTATTTTTCAACATATTAAATCAGATTAAAATAAGTAAATTTATTATGTTAAAAATATATTTAATTGTGATGAAAAACCCTACAATGAGTTATCAAAAATTAAAATGAGTACCCAATGAGTTATCAAAAATCAAAAATATCAAAAATTATTATATTGTAATACCCCGTACTTACTATATTGTTTGTTTTTTTAGTTCAATAGATAGTCATTATCAAAATATATGGAGAGTCTAAATGTGATTATTCTTTATCTGAAACAGTACAAGTAAATAACTAAGAAAATTGTATACTTTAAAGAGTAGCACTCAAAGTCACTGAATAAACTCTCCACAGCCCAATAACACTTAAACTTTATTGGGCAAACTCTGAAGTCAAAAATAATGTCAATAGTTATTAGGATTACAAATAAGTAATCCAACAAAATCAAACAAGAAATTATCTTGATTTCATTGATTCATTTTTGGGCTTGGTTCATGTGTGGTTCTAAGTTCAAGTTCAATATGAATTTGAATTTAAATTAATTCATTTGAGAACTCAACTAGATTATGTGATTGCGCCAAACAAACTTAATTTGCTGATGCACTCGCAAAATATATTATTTTTAATATTTATTATGTATTCGTATTTATTTTCAAATTTACTACTGCTTATTCTAAATATATATATATATATATTTCCAATTATTTTGGAATAGGGGGAGTATCAATTTTTTCAATAATATATATATCATGAACCAAGGCTTATACACGCTTATATGAGTTCTGTCTTTACAAAACCACGAAAATCAAGTGGAGAGTAGTTCAACTCTATAGATATAGCCTAATTACAACATTCACACTAACAAGTTGAAAGTCGGAGTTTGAATTCTCTTGCGGCCTTTGTCAGAAAAAATTTACGATAATTGCCCATGTAAGAAGTCAACAATTCTAATTTTCTTGCTGCCACCTTCTGAGAAATATTATAATAAATGTGCGGTATAAGATGAAAAATTACACGTGTTCGGTGGTAGATTATAAAATACTTAAAGATATTTGAAATGTAAAAATTAAAATAATATTTTTAAAAAAAAAAAGAAAAAGGAAAAACTGCAGAGGATATGGAACTTGTCCCCATGCTAACCAACAACTTAAATTGATTCGGA